ACAGGGTTTTTTTGATAGCTAAAGTCTGCACTTGCATAGAAATGTGTGGCATCGTTCCTATGAAATTTGGCAGATAGGTTTCCTCAGAGAAGAAAACCATGTCTTGCAAATTCTGCCAAGATAAAGAACTTTTGTGGTTCCATTTTTAAAAAATCATCAAACTTCAAAAGAATATAATACAAGAACCCATTGAACTATTTTTCAGCCGAAGGATTGACTACACTGGCCAACACACATTTTGGTGCATCAAATGTTAGCCCTGTCTCTGGGTATATTTGACCTGCTGATTTCAATAATGACACCAGTTCCCCCCTATCAGCTCTAGGTTTTGAGATATGACATATATACCATATACCAGTCGCCATCTGCTTGCCCATAAAATCACATGATAACCATATCTAAGAAACCTGTGCTGATGCAGTCTGCCCAGTGTAATTTTCTGAATCAGCAGCCCCAAATAACCCCAGGTACAGGCCTAAAAACCAAGATACCAAGATACTTTTGTTGTTGATGGGCTGTGTTATGGTTGCAATTTTTTTTTCAATTCAACCTAAAAAAGTTACTATTTTTGCAGGGTCACAATGATAGCAGGTGAATAAATTGCTCCCCTCTTGAGTATTTAACTTGTGAAATAGCTTTTAAGAATCACACTGTGTCTTTAATTTTTGCAAAATGATAGATGCATGAAGTCTGCAGTGTGTATTACACAGTGGCTGGCATAAAGAGTTATTTCTAGAGGCCCAAGATGCAGTTACAGTGTGGGCTTGTGTGTGTGTGTGTGTGGCCTTTTTACATTTCTTTGAACAGCTGCTTCTCCAAGTCCCTTCAGTTTCAGAAGGGTTTGTCATACAGTATGGGAGTTGCTTGAGGCCAACAAAAGTCCAAGTCCCCTTGGCATGCAGAACTAAGGTTGCTGTTCATTTGGTCCCAAAAATTGGAGTTATTTCTAAATAGACACAGAGGATTCAACTGAAGCAGTCTTCATCTTGCATTTTTTTTTACTGTCCCCTCAATACAACTGATCTGCACCCGCAAAAAAAAAAAATCCTTGTCTTGATTCTTGTGCTGTTGGCACACATGAGCTTCTTTAGTTTTCAAAGTGAAAGCCCTCTTTTTGGGCTTTAATGCAATTTTTCAAAAACCCAAGTTTTACTTTACACTTCCTTGGATGATGATGATGGTGATGATGATTATTATTAATATTAATATTATTTGAAACATAAACAAGATGAGTCCACAGCAAACAAGGTCACTCTACTGGCTGCTGTATTGGATTGCACGTCGGACACTTCCCAGGTGTCTAGGACTGTGTGATGTATCGGCAAATAATGCGTGCAGATCCCAGTAGGGTGGCCTTTTGCAGCTGACAGATGGTAATTTTGTCAGCATCGAATGTGTTTTAAGTGCAGGCCAAGGTCTTTAGGCACTGCACCCAGTGTGCCGATCACCACTGGGACCACCTTGACTGGCTTGTGCCAGAGTCTTTGCTGTTCAATCCTTAAATCCTCGTATTGTGTCAGCTTTTTCAGTTGTTTCTCTTTAATTCTGCTGTTTCCTGGGATTGCAACATCGATAATCCATACTTGGTTTTGTAACACTATCGTGAGGTCAGGAGTATTGTGCTCCAAAACTCTGTCTGTCTGAATTCGGAAGTCCCAGAGTAGTGTGACATGTTGTTGTTGTTGTTGTTGTTGTTGTTGTTGTTATTATTATTATTATTATTATTATTATTATTATTATTGCAATGTGTGTCTTGAGCCTCAATCAGTATCGGGGTGGGGTGGTTGGAAGCCTGGATATGTTGTCTAAATCTGTTAAACAGGTGTTGTATGTATGTAGAGCTTCACATATTTCAGCATCTGAAAGAACATCTCATTTCAGAATCCCTGTGAACCTTTGATTATTCAAATATGCAATTGTCCATATGCCCCTCCAACCTATTTTCCGCCTTGCAACCAATAAAGGGTATGTATTAATACATTGAATTTGTGCCTTTTAATGTGGGCTCACAGGATTTGGGGGGAAGGTGTGAGATGCAAGAGAACATAGTTGAATCCTTTGGAAGGGGATGGATCAGGTGAGTAGGAGGCAGGAGGACGAGTGGTACACAGGTCTGCATAAGAAGGGACCGGATTAAGGTAGAGGAGAAGGAGCACGTTTCATAACCGTCACCCCCTTTTCAACACGTACATGAAACCACCAAGAGAGGCTGTTGGGGGGGGGGAGTGTTGCCATGTGTGCCACCAGTATGCTTCCTGCCATGAACTTTACCCACCTCCACCGTGCCAGGTTCAAATCAAGGATTCATGCCCTCCCTCACCTGAAGGACCCCTAAGCACCACCGACTGTATTTCTGCCTGACCAATTTCAATGTAAAATAATCACATTCACATTCTCACACTCTCTTACTGTCTCAATTTGGCAAGGATAGTTCCAAGTAATACTCTGCCATCCCCCTTTTCCTATTGGCAGACAACAATCATTTTACTCAGGCAGAATTTTGGCTGTTAAGCTGGGATGTGCTAGAAGGAGGTTTTCACATGTGGGTTCTGCTTTCTCCCTGATGTCTTTATTAGTACTTTTATTCGGTTTTATTTTTTAAACTGTACAAGGGAACCCAGTGAGGGAGCCATCCAGTGGGAGTGCAATTGGGCAATAACAATAATAGGAAAACAAGGATAACTCTTTGTTGATATATGGATATGCATGCCGGGAAGAAGAAAAATGCAGCCATCCTGTGATTTGTGGTGTTCTGATTCATTTAATACCTTGACAATGGTAGAACACCCATTGGTGCTGATGGGTCTTTAGGGGAGGGAAATGTCTGGCATTGAGATCAATTTCAGTTCAGATTACAATTAATAAGTGTGTCAAGAAGTGGGATCAAACTGAGGCACTGGAGCTATATTATTATGCAGGTGTGCATCCATCCTGAGAGAGGTCTCAAATCAGGAGAACTTTTCATCTGGGATCAGTGTATGTGCAGTTGTGATGAGAACAAACAATATAATGCATTTTCTACAGAAAATTATGGGAAAACCACCAGTAACTTCAATAGGATTACTCAGTACTACTCTTAATTCTGATTTTTGAGAGTATTTCAAGAGAAACTATTTTAAAATATCTAGATTTTAAACATGGTGTTGTTTTATGTATTGTCGAAGGCTTTCATGGCCAGAATCACTGTGTTGTTGTAGGTTTTTCGGGCTGTATGGCCATGTTCTAGAAGCATTCTCTCCTGGCGTTTTTCCTGCATGTGTGGCAGGCATCCTCAGAGGTTGTGAGGTCCTCTGTGAGGTTGTGAGCATCTCACAACCTCTAAGGATGCCTGCCGCAGATGCAGGCAAAACATCAGGAGAGAATGCTTCTAGAACATGGCCATACAGCCAAAAAAAACCTACAACAACTCATGGTGTTGTTTTATGTTCCTATTTTAATCCAGTGTTTCTCAGTTATGATTCAATGGAAACTTAGGGTTCCTTGAGATATTGCATAGGCTTCCACAAGAGATTGTGATTGTAGATATAACTCTTATGCAGAGTTTCCCTGAGACTTCAACATTATATGGAGGGTTCCTCCAGGATAAACATGCTTGAGAAAGGCTGTTTTAGACACCTATCAATCGAGTGACCCTGACAGTGACACTATCATAAACTGAAACTCCTGCTGTGCTGTCTCACCCAAGCTGCTTTTAATATCTTTAGTGTCAACATGTCCCAACTTTCTATCAGCTTGGGTGATGCGGGATTGCCTTTCTGTTTGAGAAAGGAACTCCACAGAATCAATGTCCACACTATTGCTTTCAAGAAATGATAACTATTTATTAATTGGTCTTGGGCCTGTCTCCACCCAGGCACTATATTGAGTCCCCCACAACAAAGTCCATACTTGAAGTTTGAAGTTGACTGGTTGTTCTTGAAGTTGCTGATTGTGGATGATTTCTCAGATGAAGAACAGATGAAAGTTTACCTTGCTCACTTCTCTGGTAGAAGGGCCTCTTGGACACCCAATGCCCAAGGAGATCAGGCTGGAGGTAGAGTAAGCAAGTTCACCCTATTGAGGCCTGGCACCTCGCTGAAGGCACTGGAAACTCCACAGACTGTCACTGACCAGCGATAGGCCAGTACAGCCAGATGAGTTTCTAGATTAGTTAGTTAGTTATTGGCTTGCATGACTTCTCCAAGCCTGGATCTCACTGGGAGCAACTACAGACACATCTTGCTTCCAAGATTCCCTGGTGGAAATAATCCTAAACAAAATATGGCTCTCTTTCTCTGGGCAGAATGGGCTGGCAAACTTATTGATTCAAACCAGGAAGGGTTTCCTTAAGCTTCACCCTTGTAAAAGGATAGTGACTATTTCCAAACTGTGTGTGAGGCAGCCTAACAAAAGGAACTGGGACTTATACAGTTTTATTACATCTGCTTTCTGCTAACTTGTAATATAACCAAATTATCCTGTGGAAAGTAGTGTTGGTTATTTATGTTTATTAATTACTTTTTTCATGTAGCAATGCTATTTATCATTACAGCATGGTTTAGTCCAACATATATTAGCTGAAAGGGCTTGTGATTTCCCTCTGCCCTCCGCTCTTCCCTTGCAACCAGGAAGAGGAATGAACTAGAATTCAGTTACATTTCAGCAGATTCCTGGCTTGTCATAAATGTAACCACAAGCAAGAACTTTGGCAAACACAAAACTGAACTCTGGCATCTTTCTATTCCTGGTGTACTTACCTGCTGATGTCTGCAGAGGCTCTTGTCTTGTTGGACACAGAGTGATACATAAGTGAAACCATTAATCTGTCAAGCCCATTCATGCCTAATGTTTTTTGCAGTGGCTCTCTGGTGTCCCAGATAGCCCTGAGTGTCTTTCCTTGCCCTGTCAATTGAGACTCTTTTTTTTTTACCAGGGAAGATGAGTCATGGGTCAGAAAGCAAAAACAGCCCTGCGATGTTATGATTCCTGCCATTGTGACAATTCTCTCATTTTGTCCATAGCTCAGCAATCAGCAAGCACTGGGAGGCAGAACTCGCCACGCTCAAGGGTAACAATGCCAAGCTTACAGCAGCTCTGCTTGAGTCTACTGCCAATGTGAAACAATGGAAACAACAGCTTGCTGCATATCAAGAGGAAGCAGAACGTCTACATAAGCGAGTAAGTTTAAAACGCTTGAATGTGCAGAGTTCATGAATTTGCCATCTTGTTGTGAGCTAAGAGGAAATTTTGTAAACCATATTGCCTTAACAGACTACCCTTTCATCTCACAGCTATTCATACAAGCCAACTTTAAGGTTATAAAATGAAATATATCATGAAGTTCTAATGTGTTAGTTTGTTTAATGATTCTATTCCATCCTCCCCTACTTTGAAAAGAAATGTCTACAGTTCTATTGTGTGTGTGTGTGTGTGCACATACACATACACACATACAACAATCCCCAGTGGTGCAGTGGGCTAAACCGCCAAACTGCTGAACTTGCTGATCAAAAGCGTTGCCAAACACAAGAGTTGTAATGGGAAAGCAGCCCTTTGTAAGACCCTGTTTAGTCCCCCGAAGTTGTTGTTGTTGTTGTGTTGTTACTACTTCTAAAGTTGTACAGGACCGTGCCCTGCCTTTTGTGTTTTTTTCAACCTCAGCCCCCTCCCCTTCTTTTTTTAAACACAACCATAAACAAAATCCATGGATAATAAAACAGCGCAACCAAAAAACGTTTTTTTCTTGGTATCTTCATTTTTAGGCCTGTTCCTGGGGTTATTTGGGATGCTGATTCATAAAAATTGGATAGACCACATCAGCTCTAGATTCAGCACCCCAAATAACCAAACTGAATCTAAAATTGATCAAAATTGGTTCTTAACATTTTGGTTCTAATGTTGGAGAATGGTCCCTGGTTAAGTGTTCCCTGGTCAAAAAAAGGTTGGAAACCAGTGGTGTAGAAAATCTAGCTGATATAGTATCCTCAGCAGATTGTTGTCCAGCCTCTCTTTGAAGTCTAGAGAAGGAAACCTCACCACTTTTCAGGGCAGTTGGTTCCATTATGAACTGTTATTAATTTCAAGATTTCATATAGTGTGCAATTGAAATCTGCTGTCTTTATCTTAAAACCATTCGAAAAATTAATAAGTGATGACAGAATGGTATGTATGAGGAGGGGTATTTGGGGGAAGAGCAGTATGATACCATTTGTCAGTATTCACATCTGCCATTTCAGTTATAAAATTGCAGGTAGAAAACTTTCTGTGGCTTGTGTTTTCACATCATCTGTCACATTCAGCCCATCTGCTCTATTTGTGGTTTTTTGTGCAGTTTTGCTACAAATGTGTAACTTAAGAATATTTTAAAAGTCTGTTCTTTTGGGTAGTTACAGATAAATGCATCTTGCATGTAAATTTGTTAAAGCATGTCACTGGATGCAAACCAAAATCTATCACATATTCTATTCTCCTGGGAGGATCACTGGAAAGTATTTATCACAGCATGCCATGCTGATAAGAACCTTTTGGAGGATAGAGGAGGGAAGTTCTGAAGCTGTCTTAAGGGGTAAAGAACACATCATATGCAAATTGATGTAAACAAAAGCTCTGACAGCTGCTTTTTCTGAAGAAAAATGGCTTCAGAAAGGTCCCATTTTAAGTAGAAATGTGGTGAAAGGGAAGAGTATGCTTAACCTTATCCTTGATAGATGATTTTCTGCTCCAAATAGTCCCACCACAGCTGCTTTTCTCCCCATGGGAAACCAGATGCAGGCAGATGCTTGCTTGGAACCCAATTTTTAGTGGAAACTGGTAACCTGAGTTGGAAAGGGAGGGTGTCTATTATAGAAGAAAGTATGCACCCTCTCCTTCCCGCTGACTGACTCTGCTGAAATAGCCTGTTTCCATCTTCTCCCTTTCTTTCAAAGTGACAGAAGGGCTCCATGTCATAGTCTAATTGTCGTTGGTCCCTCAAAGACTGTGTCACTAGTCATAGTGGACTCTGCAAAGTGAACCTGAGTAAGTTGTTCCAGTAAATTTTAGGGCTGTCCTTTCCCCCCTACATCTGCAATACCACTGCCTCCATTAATCATTAGGTGAAAAACTTGTTTTGTGAAATACAGATCTCCGGGTGGGGGACTTTTGCTTGCCTTTCTTTTCTACACAGTGTTTATGCCACATTACCTAGTAATGTGGCTTTGGGTTCTCCCTTATTCTCCGAAATTACTGGCATAAATTATAAACAATACAGTGTTAAGTTATGGAGTTGATTACATGGTATGATGATTTCCCCAACAACAACAACAACAGCAGCAGCAGCAGCAGCAACAACAACAACAACACTTTATTTATATTCCACCCTATCTCCCCAAGGGGACAGGATGGATCACAGTTACACATACATGGCAAACATTCAATGCCATTTGGGACAGACAGGACAGAGACAGAACAGAATGGAGGTATGTTGTGTCGACATCCAGCTTTTTGGCGCCTTGGAGGTTGTGCTCGAATCCAGCCACAGGGAATGCTGTCACTCCATCCTCTATGATGGAGCCATCAGGACTTCCTCTGTCCTTTTGGTCACTGGGCATTCTCTGATCTTTTTCTTTTTATAGTGTTGTAAAATACCTCTCCTGCTTTTTTTTTTTTTTAGCAATACCTAATTTCTCTACTTACAGCTTCTAAGCTGTTTACTTAGGTAAACAGTGAGCTGGGCTGACAGTTGGGTGCACACACAGACCTGGGGTTTCGAACTGGCAACTTTTCAGTTGGTAGATCTTATCATTGCTGGTGATTTACCAGCTTTGCTAAAGCCCAGTTATAAATTACAATGATAAAAGTTTGCACAGCAGGCTGTCCGCTTTTGGGATTTACTAAGCATAGTTGACAAACCTGGATGAACTTATACATTCAGTGTTCTGAGGAAACGTATAATACTTTCATATTTAAAAAGCAAATCAACTTGAGTTTTCATCACACTGGCGGCTGCAGATCAGGATTGAGTTGAGTAATCAATGTTCTTGTTCTCATAAAAGGCAGAGCACCCACTGTTTACCTCATTCACATTCCCACTCTCTTTAAAAGTGAAGAAGAAGCATAGTTGTTGAATGAATACAGCCAAGCTCTTGGATAGTAAATCCAGTGACACATTTTCTTCTCAGATTTCAGAGCTGATGTGTACCAGTTGCCTCAAAAAGCTGGCTATTATGGTATATTATCTTTGCTGCAATATTGTCCTAAACAACCTGGAGCCAGTTATAGCTATTTATTTAGAAAGTGCCTTTTTTCAGGGAATGGTTTGGTTTTTGCTTCCTATGTAGATTTCCTTGTTAGTCTTTTCTTCAGGAGTCAACAAAATGAAAAAGATTTTTTGTCTTTAGGTTTCTAGAAGACTTTGAGTTTGATCAAAGGAGAACAGTAGATGTAGTGGGGCTCCCTGCCAGCGGGAGTGTGCCATAGATCGCTGTGTTACAAAAATGCATTATGATTATAAATAATCCAGAGCTAAACGTGCAAACCCCAACCCAAGCAGTGTATACTTCCCATGCAGGGACATGAGAGAAGCTTTCCACAGGGTGTCCCCTGGGCAACATCCTTCCAGCTGGCCAACTGTCTCACACCAAAGGCAACTTGCAGTATATTCTCAAGTCACTCCTGACATGATAAAATAGTTATTTTTAATAAACTATTTCATTATATTATAAGTTGCTGCAGTTTTGAAATGAGAGGATTAAAAATCATTTTGTAATATGACTTTACTGGTTAAGAAGTTGTTGTAAAACCCATCTGGTTTGAGGATCATGACTTCTCACGTACATACAGATTCTGCGGGGATCCCATTCTTTCTTTTCAAATGTGACATTCATTTTCTATTTATTGTGCATTTCTGAATGCATTTCTTAGGAAAAACACAAGAATACCACTAAGGTTTCCCCTAAGGTTTCTGTCACTTTTGTTTCAGCTGTTATATTTTCCTTGGGTCAAGATTAAATCTAGAACTGCAGATACTCTGACTCTTTCTATTTGTCAAGAACATTTAAGGAATGCTCCATTTTGGAATCGAGTTTGAAGTTAAGCAGATGCCAAAATAGTTATACGCACACCCCTCCCCCACCACCAATGCTATTGCTTGCTTCTGTAGTAGTTTTTTTTTAATGGGCAGGACAATTATTATCATCAGTGAGTATTGCTGGTTTGGTCGTGTCAGGAGCAACTTGAGAAACTGCAAGTCGTTTCTGGTGTGAGAGAATTGGCCGTCTGTAAGGACGTTGCCCAGGGGACACCCGGATGATTTGATGTTTTTATCATCCTTGTTGGAGGCTTCTCTCATGTCCTCACATGAAGAGCTGGAGCTGATAGAGGGAGCTCATCTGCCTCTCCCCGGATTCGAACCTGCGACCTGTCGGTCTTCAGTCCTGCCAGCACAGGGGTTTAACCTACTGTGCCACACGAGGCCCCATAGTATTGCTGGTGGCTTTGCAATAAAAATCATGCATTTTAGCCCAAACTTTGAAAGAGCTGTCTAAGGTGCTGAACTATTTTGTAACTTGGGTTTGGAACCTTAATCAGCTACCTTAAAGTTCCGTTTTAAAGGCTGGGTTGGCAATTGAAGTAACTGGGAAGCCACTTGCTGCCATTAGCTGTTAGGTGAAGTGACCACTATAGACATGTTGGAGGGCATATAGTGGATAGAGCTGTATGTGCCACATAGTGATGATATGAGGGGGGAAAGGAAAGGGTCTGAGGCTGTTAGGAATGGTGGGAGTTGAAGTCCAAAACATCTGGAGGGAGGGCCCAAGTTTCTCCATGCCTGAGCTAAGAGGAAAAAATAGCTGTCTCTTCCTGTACTCTATCCAGGGGGATTTTATGAAGTGTGGGAAAGGGGAAAATGCACCTTTCCGTCTCCATAAAACAGAGTTTTGTACTGCAATGATAGGGATTTCTTAGCCTTGTGGAACACATCCTTCACCTTCCCAGTCCCTTCTCCCTTAAAGATATTTACTGTTTTGAACAGCCAATGTAATTTCAGCAGTATCTACTTCTCCCAACCACAGACTTAAGGGATAGACACATACATTTTCCCTTCAGCACGACTCAGAAGAATGGGTCCCACACAATTAAAAATAGTCTAACTCTGCTGGTGACCATATTGCCTCCCTCCTCCCACAGTGCACCTGCTTTTCCAGCTCTGATGTGTGTATTGTGTGAAGGTCTAAAGGGGAGTAAGGCTAGATTTACGAAGGCTTATCCATGTAGAACTCTGGATTCAGGAATGGTACAGCTAGCTTACCCTTCAGAGCTTTGCATTGTGCAAGAAAATCAAGGATGGAAAAGGTAGTTTACCAGAGGCAGAGCCAACTAAGGACTTCATCAGAACAGCAGGACAGAAGCAGAGAAAAGTGTTAGGAAGAGTGGGGAAAACATGAGTAATGAGATGTTGAGGACTGATGTTTTTATTGGTTTTATTGGTTTTGTATGGTTTTTATATTATGCTAAATATTTTAAACTGTATTTTGTGTTGTTGGGGGCATCGAATTGTGTCGATTGTAAACCGCCTTGAGTCGCCTTCGGGTTGAGAAAGGCGGTATATAAATAAGGTAAATAAATAAATAAATAAACATTTTACCTTGTTCACTCCCGGCAGGGTCCACCTTTGGGAATGGCCAACCATCCTAATACCTTTTCCTATCTTCTTATTTCTTTCCCCTGCTTCCCCCTCTCTTTCTGTTTCCCAATTGCTAAGAAGGGAGTCTTCCCTTCCTTGTTACATGCCGGCAAGATGGAGTGCCACGGGCAACCACTAGAAGTGGCCATGCATTATGGGATGGCCTCCGTGGAACTCCGTTTTGCCAGCATGTGAAAATGGAGACAGCATGGAGGAAACATCCATATGATGAGGTCCTAAATTATTGTGGTGTGTGGCCTCATATTCTTTAATTTCAAGGTCCTGCACTGTCCTCCTTCTGCAGGGATCTGAAAATCTGGATGTTCCAGCAAGCATTTGAGAATGATTAGTCCTTAGTGATATAGTCCTTAGGTTGCCAAGTAGTACTCTGTTTTGCACTTCATCCACCTCCCCAGCCCTATGTACACTGTTTGCACCCTCCCTTGCCCAGCCCTTTATAGCTTGGTCATGCCCATGTTACTAATCCTGATCATTGGTTTTTGTTGAACCTCGTCTGATGGGGCTTCAGTGTAATCTATTTCATACTCTTTAATGTTAAAGTCTCAGAGACTTTCTAGACTTTTGTTTAGATGGTGCCTATTAGGCCCGTAGCCAGGATTTCGATTCGGGGGGGTGTGGGTGGGGTGGTGGTGGGTGAGTTTGTTTCAGGGGGGGGGGGGGCTGAGTCTGTGTGAAAGAGGGTCTACCCTAGCAAACCTTTTGTATCATTACCCCAATACCCCCATGCATATGGGATATATTGAGTATGGTGATCAGATCATGATATGAATAAACATAACAGTTCAAATAATGCACCAGTAAGGCCTTTTCGCAAATCACCATGAGAATTGGGGGGGGGGGGCTGAAGCCCCTCAAGCCCCCCCCCCCTCCCCCGGCTACATGCCTGGTGCCCATGTTGTGTCGTGCCACCAAAGGGCAGAAAAACTGGCAATTCAAATATACTTTTCAGTTGTTGTTTGCTTAAGTCTACCTTGAATAGTCCTAATCTAGAGGAAATTTTAGCACATTGTGGTTGCATTAATTTGTGAGAACACACATGCATGTTCTTCAAGAGATTAAGTGCTAATGCTTAAGTCACAAAGATATCCCGGTAATTGTATTGAATTTTTTTCACTGTGCTAATAGAGAAAACATAGCCATCTTCAGGTCAAACTGTGACCACTGTATGTTAATGAATGACTAAATTGTAGGTTATTTTGCTTGAATGGTTTCAGAAAACTGGATGTTTATCAATCCGTTAAATGTGGTCAAGTATAGAAGGGCATCATTTTTTTCTCTCTTCATGTTACATAAGCCCACTTTTAGGTCTGTTTATCATTAGGCATACTAAAAAGGACATGGAATATTATTACGTCTTTCTGAATGGCCATAGGGAAATTGGGAACATGAGCTGTTGTAGGTTTTTTGGGCTGTATGGCCATGTTCTAGAAGCATTCTCTCCTGACGTTTTGCCTGTATCTATGGTAGGCATCCTCAAAGGTTGTGAGGTCTGTTGGAAAGTAGAAAAATTGGGTTTATATATCTGTGGAAAGCCCAGGGTAGGAGAAAGAACTCTTGTCTGTTGGAGCTCGATGTGAACATTTCAATTGGCCATCTTGATTAGCATTTGATGGCCTGCCAGTTTTTAGGTGTGCTTTGTTACTGCCTGGGAGAATTCTTTGTTGAGAGGTGATTAGCTGTTCCTGACTGTTTCTTGTCTGGAGTTTGAGTTTTGTTCTTTATTTATTGTTATAATTTTAGAGTTTTTTAATATCGGTAGTCAGATTTTGTTCATTTTCATGGTTTCTTCCTTTCTGTTGAAATTGTCCACATGCTTATGGATTTCAATGGCTTCTCTGTGTAGCCTGACAAGGTAGTTGTCAGAGTGATCCAGCATTTCTGTGTTCTCAAATAATATGCTATGTCCAGGTTGGACTCTTGTTTGCTGAGATATTCCTCCAAGTATCTCTGTCGATCTTAGGAAGCTGTCTCTTGATTTAAGGTGCCGGCATGCTGGCTGATATCCGAACAGAGGGTGGACCTGGTATGTTAATGCCTTGGTCCTTTCATTACTGGCTGGTACAGCAGTGGAACTCTCTGCTCCGGAGTGTGGTGGAGGCTCCTTCTTTGGAAGCTTTTAAACAGAGGCTGGATGGCCATCTGTCAGGGGTGATTTGAATGCAACATTCCTGCTTCTTGGCAGGGGGTTGGACTGGATGGCCCATGAGGTCTCTTCCAACTCTTTGATTCTATGATACTTCCCAATGAATGTCAGGTGGTGCAATACTGGCCAAACAGTATAATTTCTCCAGTGGTGTCGGGAATGATAATGCAACATGTCTTATTAAGAGCCACATCCACTTTTTTAAAACATAGTGAGCTGTATTCCACACTAGGCATGCATGTTCAGCAGCAGAGTAGCAAAGTGCAAGGGCAGATGTCTTCACTGTGTCTGGTTGTGATCCCCAGGTTGTGCCAGTCAGCTTTCAGATGATGTTATTTCTAGCATCCACTTTTTGCTTGATATTCAAGCAGTTCTTCTTATTAGTCAGAGCACTGTCCAGAGTAACTCCCAGGTATTGTTGGTGTGTTGCAATGCTTCAGTGGGTTCTGAGTTAATTTGTGAGGAGCGTTGGAGAGGTTGTTCAATGTTTTCAATATAATAAATAAATATTTCATTTGCTTTGCTACATTTAACTTTTATAAAGAAAGTTTTGTTTTTACGAATTTTGGCCTCTGGAAACACTATCAGAGTTTGGATTCAGACAAAGGGTATGTGGCAGCAGCACTGAATGTAGAGAGATTAATCGTTGTATACATCTTCATAATATCTTGAGGGCATTTAGATGGTCCCTACAGTTGGTGGGACAGGAGGAAGTCCTTACATTGTAGCAGAGGTGAGGATTGGAGTGCCAAAACATCAGCAATACCTGATTCGATGTTGTATTAAATTCATACCTTCACATCTTTACAGCAGCAGGAGTGAGCCATGGTAGCATAATGGGTTAAACCCTTGTGCCAGCTGAACTGCTGACATGAAGGTTGGCGGTTTGAATCCGCGAGATCGGGTGAGCTCCCATCTGTCAGCTCCAGCTTCCCATTCAGAGACATGAAATAATCCCCTGGGCAACGTCTCTGCAGACGACCAATTCTTTCACACCAGAAGCAACTTGTAGTTTCTTCAGTCGCTTCTGACAGAATTAAAAACAAACAGTTGAAGTTAACCCTAGTACTTAAAGAACATCTCACACATCTTCATTAGATGCCACGCAAGGTTACTTAAACTTAATTCAGCATGTGCCAATGTTTTCAAACAAGTGCTAAAGAAAATAAAAAGTCTATATTGCCCTTTAATTGTATATTTATTATCTTTTTATTTTTACAGGTGACTGAGCTGGAGTGTGTGAGTAGTCAAGCAAATGCTGTTCACACTCACAAAACAGAGTTAAATCAGACAATACAAGAATTAGAAGCAACGCTGAAGAAAAAAGAAGAGGTATTTCCTTGCTTTTGTTCCTTTTCATATGAAATAGCCTTCAGAATGTGTCATTTATATATTTCATAGTGTTAAATGTTAAAATGACTGTAGAAATTGGGATGGCTTTCTTTATGAGTAATAAAGAAGAATCAATATTTCAGTCTGGGTCTGAACATAATGAAAAATCATCCATCAGTTTCTTAAAGTAAGATGTACATGTATCAGAAGTACACCTTATGCCTCAAAGTGGGGAATAGCAAACCTACAGTGCCTATTCCTAATTCCAGTCCCGCTGCACCCAGGCATTGAGGCTGTTGCTAGTTGGAGTCTTTAAAAGTCTAATGAGGAGAATTGGGGTATGTTACAGCTGGGGAGGGAAAACTTCCCTTTCTTGAGATTGGCCATGCTGACTGGGGGAATCCTGGAGGTATGAGATGACACCTCCCCTCCCACATGCCACACTATCAAGACCCCCCAACCTGGATAATAGCCCAGGATCTGCTTCTGGCTCAGCTGGGTGACAGATGGTCACATGTTTTGGACTGGAGCATTGGAGGCAACTGAGATGGAAACCACCCCAGATCCTGCCATTGTGATTGAAGCTGAGGATAAGAAACATTGGAGTGACCGGGCAGGGGCATTTTGAGCTCTGGGTAATAATTTGGGGATGGATCCCATGGGCCCAGAACAATATTTTGCCTGTAATAAAACAATGCTCCTTTCTGGGCTCCAGACAGCTGTCTTTTGAAATGGAACAGGGTGCAACATCTCCCAAACCATCCACTTTTCTCTCCTTTTCCAGTTTTCATTCTGTATCCTGTGTGGTATGTGAGCATGCTCAGTCCTCAAAGGGCTGAGTTTTTTCCTTTTCTTTCTGAGTTCTTCCCTATGTGTTTTTTTTTAAAGTTTCTACAAATCTCATGGTTTCCCAAATGAGTGTTGGAAATAGCAACCTTCCAAGTCTCCACTAACTGTTTGTAAATGTATATAATTGTTAACCTATATCTTATTTACATTTTGGTTTGCCAGTTTGACTGTACCTCTTTGGTGTGGGAGGGGCTTCAGACACAGGACTCCATTTTTGTTATGTAGTATGCTTTTAGACCTCAATTGGAGGTAGATGCAGTTTGTCTCCTTTCAGACCTCAGTGAGCACAGTTATAGAGTTTGAACTATATATGCTTAAAGAAATTGGACTATGGACTAATATACTGAATATATATAAGAAGTTTGTTAGTAAACTTGAGATGTTATTCTTAAAGAAAACTACTGTGTTTTTATCTCTTGTGTTCATGTTTTAAACAAGATGTTTTTAAGGGAGAGTAGATGAATAACTTCAGCGTCAAAGAAACAACCATCCTCTGCTAGCCAAATATATTTTTGTAGTGGCATGTCTTTATCCTTGGCAGTTTAAAGACATCCAAGAACTAAATATGTGGATGTTCTGTTGTGTGTTGGATTAGATAATTCCCTTGACAACTGGCCCCAACTATGACCTAAAATCTTGTCCTTGCACCTTACTACTGTTCTATCCAAAGTCTTACTTATCTAGTTGAAATTGCTCTTATCCTTTTGCTGCTATATGACCTAAGCACTTTACTCATTAGACCTACCTTTAAATTGTACAACAGTCCATCCTCCTACAACAAGACTTGAAATATACTATTGGTTGCTGTTTCTGATACTTGTTTTATTGTTTTAATGTTGCTTATATTGTATTGGCTCTCATGGCCGGAATCACTGGGTTGTTGTAGGTTTTTTTATATGTAGGCCATATAGCCCAAAGAAACCTACAACAATCCGTTGCTTATATTGTTTCTATACTGATTATTGCATTTTGTACATGTTATGTTTTAACTTTTTTGATTGGGCTTGGTCTCATGTAAGCCACCCTGAGTCAATTCAGGAAGATAGAGGCGGGGTATAAAAATAAAGTTGTTATTGTTGTTGCTGTTATTATTATTATTCAGTTTATCAGCTGAGTTACCTGTGTGCCATTATATGAATGCTTGTGAATATCACTTGTTCAAAGGGCTGACTTCTAATGAGGTCATGCTTTTCTTGACTAGTGTTTTTCAGAAGGTGGTCTCCACATGTTCATAGAGATTCACATTTACCAAGCAGATGTGACATCATTTTTACCTTTTCAATAAGCTTATGGTGCGCTTATTTCCAATAGATTATAGAATGTCCAATAATAAGTTGGCTCTCTCACCCCTGTTTCCTAGTAGTCCCACTTTTGGTTCCAGTATTATTGTCATGGCTGCCTGTGTTTGCTGTTAGAAGGAGTGACTGCCACGCTTTGACTGCATTTAGAATAAATTCAGATTTGGAAAATATGGGTTCTTTACAAGGAATAACTCGGTGAAATAAAGAGCAAGTATGACCCAGTGTCAGATTAATTAATCAAATTAACTAGACAGATGCATGTAACGGAAAGCAAAATTTTGTCAATGTTCAGAAGTGCATTTTGTTCTTGACATTTTCAAATGACAAATGATTAATCATAAGGTTTAATCTTGCAAATGTCCTTTTGTTTATGGAAAAATTAAACATGGGTTGATTCTACAGCACTTACTTATTCAAGAGGCAGCAGATCGGCATGGTCTTCTTAGACATAAGAAAGCATAGTGACAAACGAGCAGACCTCAACCTGTTTCCAACAGCCTTTATATTATGGTTTTAAGCATTTGAAAAGCCTTCTGCATTAGAATTTGAGGTACTTTCTCTGGAGAATACGAGTGACAGAGTGACCCTTCCAGTGTGGGGCCATGCATTGATAGGAAGTTCAAAAAGCCTCTGTTCTCTCTCTAGCAAAGCACATGCACTTCCCCAAAGAGTGAATAATAGGCAGGGATTACCATTTATACCGTATCGGTAGTCTCAGAAGCACACTATTCTTTTTCTGCCAATAATTGACACCAGATGTTTCAGAAGAACACTCTTCACTGCAGTTCCAAAATAACTTGTCTTTGTGGAAGGTTCTTCCTAGTCTCCAAACTGGTAGAATTTTATTACACTGAAAAGTGGTGTCATGTTCACCACTTCCATGAGCCTCTACTTTAAATGTTGCAGTCCTTTCTATGGTATCTCCAGGGTTTTTTGTAATGATTCCATCTACTATTGTGGAGCAGCCATTTAAAAATGTCTCATACTGCTGATTTTCATTCCAAACATTGAATCCCAGGAGTACAGTGTAGAATAGGCATGGGCTAACTTTGGCCCTGCAGTTGTTTTGTAATTCAACTCCCACAATTCCTAACAGAAGAAAGCCCTTACATTGTGACAGAGGCGAGGATCCGAGTACCATAGCATCAGCAATACCTGATTCAGTGCTGTATTATATTCACATCTTTACAACAATTGGAGTTAACCCTAGTACTTAAAGAATGCCTCACACTTCTTAGCTAGATGGTACGCAAGGCTACTTAAACTTAATTCAGCATGTGCTGTCAGGAATTGTGGGAGTTGAAGTCCAAAACACTTGGAGGACCAAAGTTTGCCCATGCCTGGTCTCAAAATTAACTTCATAAGTTCACCAGAAAGTTTGCATAGCATCATTATGTTTGGTGACATTGTTTCACTATTACTTTAGACCAGGCATGGGCCAACTTGGGCCCTCCAGGTGTTTTGGACTTCAACTTCAACAATTCCTATCAGCTAGATGTTGTTGGACTGTGTAGCTGGTTGTGATTATGTAAACTGCAGTTTAACAATAGCTGGACTGCCACATGTTTCTAATCCCTCTGCTTTAGTTCTTAATTTTCTATCTTATTCAGTCTTACATGAACTTCCTTACATATACTTCCTTGAGCTAAAAATCAGAAAAAATAGGGTTCTTTTTAAACCACAGTTCCCACAATTCCCCAACTAGCTGGATAAGTGGCCATACTGGCTGGGAGATTATGCTCCAGAAGGAGAAGAAAAAGGTAATAATAATAATAATAATAATAATAATAATAATAATAATATTTTATTTATATTCCGCTCTGTCTCCCCAAGGGGACTCAGTGTGGATTCCAAAGATAAAAAGCAATATTGTATTATGAATACAATAATAATAATAATAATAATAATAATAATACTTTATTTATACCCCACCACCATCTCCCCCAATGGGGACTCGGGGCAGCTTACATGAGGCCAAACCCAAACAACAAATTACAATAAAATAAAAACCAAAGACACAAATGACAACACAGTGAAATACATAAAACATATGAATACAATAAGCAGTATAAAAATACAATATTCACAATCACAATGATAATGAGTGGGCCGCATGTGCAAGATAAAATGCTAAAACTCAGAGTGAGATAAAAGAAGAGGAGATTATTTGTAAAGGGAGAGCTCATAAAGAAACGGGGTTGTAAAAAACAGGCCTTCATACAAGCGGGGGAAGTGTACTCCAGGAACAAAAACTTTGAGGGGATCAATAGTGTATGGTTGTGTAGCTACTCTTCGAAAATGCAACAGAAAAGCCAGGTTTTGAGATATTTCTTGAAGGTTTCTAAGGTGGGGGCAACAACAATATATCCATACTAACAAAATTTATACAGCCCAACATATAAATACGAATTATAATTTAGCAAACTAAAATTTAATAAAAGCACAGCCTGTTATAACAGACATAAGACAAAGCATTAAACATCAAATGGAAACAATAATTTCCCATTTCTTTGGGGCAAATGGATTAATCACTGCTCAAGATATCTATTGCCCACACTTTTGTCCTAGGATGTGTCTACACTGCAGAATTAATGTGGTTTGATACCACTTTAACTTCCATGACTCAAAGCTATGGAATCACGGAGGCTGCAGTCATACAAAGTCCTTAGCTTTCACTGCCAAATAGTGCTGGTGTCTCACCAAATTACAACTCCCATAATTCCATAGCACTGAGCCTTGGCAGTTAAAGTGATGTCAAACTGCATTCATTCTATAGTGTAGATGCACCATTGGTTTATATTTCAAACATATTGCTATTGCCCCAACCTCTGGCAATCTAAAACCACATCTTAGCAAGTGTCTCCCTCGGTAGCAGAATGTGCTGAAAAACTGGCTCCTTTTTGGACAGCTGTCTCCTTCTTAATCAGTTTCTGTCACTGCTGCATAATCAATAGCCGTGTTTATGGTCCTGGAGCACAAGAGCTCCTCTTTCTGGGAAATAGGATGCTGAAATTCAAGGCCGTAAGGCTGCCCAAGTGGCTCTTTGAGAGATGTTTTAAGGGAGACAGCAGCCGTCCGGCCCTCAACCTCCTCCTCGCGCTGCACACGTACTTGCTGTAGCATTGGCAATGCTAAGCCCTATCTTCTGTCCGCTGGCATGGGATTATGTTCTTACATATTGATGTGCAAAGAATATTTCTTCAAGGTAATGATCAAATATGGCATGCTAGACTATAACAGAACTAAAGCCACAATGACATTTCCCCCTGCATTTATTCAGCAGCACAGACATTTATGTAAATTCATTACCCAAGTTGAACTACGCAGCATGTATTGCTCATCGTTGGCAGGTGAATCATTGAAAGGAGTTGCTGACTCCGGGACTTATTGTTTTAGTAACCAGCTGTTCAGTGTCAGTTCTGATACAATAAGGTTGATTTGTACAGGATGAAAGTTCGCGTCTCCATTAAGGTCAGTTTGGGTAATGCGTTCCTTTATTCTCCCTTAGGAAATAGAGAAATTGAGAGAAGAAATTGATAATGCTAAAGAGCTTCAGGCACAGAGGGACTCCTTAACTCAGAAGCTACAAGTAAGTATTGAGATGGGGAGGACTGGGTCTGTGGAAATCTAAAGATGTGAAAGACAGGTGGAGAGCTGCCATTCTGGGTACCAGTGGCAGTAATTGCTTCCTGACCCCCCTTTCTGCTTTGGTTCTGCCACCTATTTTCCTTCAACAGTAGTAGATCATTGCACATAATACTGTATATTGCAAGAAAGCAGACTTTGTCATAATTCATGGGAAAGCCTTGTTTTGCCTTACTAAAAGGTAAAGGTTTCCCCTTGACATTAAGTCTAGTCTGGGAGGTGGTGCTCCTCTCCATTTCCAAGCCAAAGAGCTGGCATTGTCCATGGACAAGGTCATGTGACCGCCATGACTGCATGGAGCACTGTTTCCTTCCTGCTGGAGCAGTACCTATTGATCTACTCACATTTGCATGTTTTAGGAACTGCTAGGTTGGCAGAAACTAACCGCGGGAGCTCATCCCACTCTCTGGATTCAAACCGCCGACCTTTCAGTCAACAAGTTCAGCAGCTCAGCGGTTTAACTTGCTGTTCTACGGGGGCTCCTTTGCCTTACTAAATGGAGTCAAAGAGCGCAAAAATCCCCAAAAATCTGAAAAGGTGAACACTGGTGTTTTTTTGTTGTTTTTTTTAAAGTCAAATGTGTACCCTGGTGTAAAGCAAATAAGCATGCCCTCCCTACTGAGCTGCTGAACTTGCTGACCAAAAGGTTGGTAGTTTGAATCCGGGGAGCAGAGGTGATCTTCCACTATTTGGCCCAGCTTCTGCCAACCTAGCAGTTCAAAAACATGTAAATTTGAGTAGATCAGTAGGTATCACTTCTGCAGGAAGGTAATGGCGCTCCATGCTGCCTGCATGACCTTGGGGTGTCTATGGATAATGCTGGCTCTTTGGCTTAGCAATGGAGATGAGCACCACCCCTCAGAGTCACACGCGACTAGACTTAATGTCAGGGAAACTTTACCTTTACTGCTGTCATAAGGATTGTTTGCTACAGATTTGGAGATAGTTTGGTGGTTATTGCTTGAAGAACTGTGAAAGCCTGAAAAACCTGGTTTGCCTAGCTGTAACAAATAACAAACATTATGAAGAGCATAGCTTCTTAATCTGTGGGTCCTGACTCCAAATGGGGTCACTTTAGCTCAATGTTGGGGTCACGAAAAATTTGCAAATAGTCAAATGTTTCTGAACACCATGCACTTAAAAAAATCTGTTAGCAACAACATAAGGCATTTACAATGGACTCTGGAGAAAGTGTTTTATCTGTACACTACAAAAAGGAAAATCAACCTATTTAGCAAGCCTTGCAAATACTTATTTATTTATGTATTCACATTACTTGTATACAATTTTTCTCGCCCCAGCGGGGGACTCAAAGTGGTTTCCAACATAATTATGGCAAAATTTAATGCTTCACATACAGAAACCTAACATAATGATAATAACATACAATTATCAATTAAATTATAAAACACAATATCATTTAACATTAAAACATGGAATTAAAAAACATCAATGTAAACATTAAAATCACATTCCATGTACTGCTTACTGCCCAAAAGCTTGGTCCCATAGCCAAGTTTTTACTTTTCTTCTGAAGGCTAGGAGGGAGGGCACTGATCTAATTTCATTAGAGAGTGAGTTCCATAGCTGAGGAGCCACCACTGAGAAGGCCCTGTCTCTCATCCCCACCAATCACACTTGCGAGGGAGGGGAAACCGAGAGCAGGGCATCCCCAGATGATCTTAATCTCTGAGATGGTTCATAGAGGGTTTGCTCATTTATACCTTTTTAATATACCTATAATCTAGTAAAAATGTATTGGGGCAGAAAGGGGTTGTGATTGGAAAAAGCCAAAGAAGCCCCGATGTAGAGTACATGACCAAAAAAACAAGGAAAGCTTCATATGAAATGTGGAAATCACCTGAGGACAACTTAATTTGGTCAGGGCGGCCCAACAAAGTGCTCCATGGGATACTGTTCTCTGCTAAGGGAGTGCCAAGCAGAGCCTGTGTGACTCTGGAACCCAGACCCAGCCCTCTATTGTGCCTAAATGCAAATAAATGGCAACTGGAATAACTTGCATTTGCATCAGGGACAGAATGGAAATACAGGGCAGCCAAATACACTTGTGATTACATGGAGAGGAGAAAGAGGGAGATTTATGCCTGATTAGAAAGGGAGCTATGCTCACTTGGCAATGGGTTGTGCCCCATCATTGTTGCAGGAGCACAAGAAATAAATGTTGAGAAATGAACTGAGGAAGCTGGGTAAAGTTGGGCACAATTCAAAGTGCTTGCTTTAGCCTATAAAGCCCTAACTGGTTCCGGCCCACCCGGCTTACCTCTCCCAACGTATCTCTCCTTATGAACCATCTAGGACTCTAGGATCGTCTAGGGAGGCCCTGCTCTCGGTCCCACCTTCTTCACAGAAGCATTTGGCGGGGATGAGAGACAGGGCCTTCTCAGTGGTGGCCTCTTGGATGTGGAATGGACTTCCCTTTTTAAATATTTTATTGCATTTATATTCATTTCATTACAAAAAAAACCCCATCTCTATAATTCATATAATTACTTCTTCTCCTTTCCCCAGTTGTGCTACCCCTTGTGCTCCCCATCTCCGGAGTTTTTCTTTTCTTTTTGCTCCCACCAGAACCTCATTTCTTCTGGTGGGGGTTGGTGTGGAACGCCCCTCCTAGGGACATTAGATCGGCCCCCTCCCTCCTAACATTTCGTAAAAACATTAAAACTTGGCTTTTCGAGCAAGCATTTGCAAATGCAGTGTAACAGGCAAATATAGATCTATGGAACGACTGGACGATGTGAATTGGAATATGATTTTAGTAAAAGATTTTAGGATTTTAGTAAAGGATTTTAGTAAATGATTTTAGCTGAGGATTTATGTTTTTTATTGTTTTTGTCTGGTTTTTATATTATATGCTAAATGTTTAAATTACATTTTATGTTGTTGGGTGCATCGAATTGTGCCAACTGTAAACTACCTTGACTCGCCTTCAGGCTGAGAAAGGCGGTATATAAATACAGTAAATAAATAAATAAATAAATAAATAAAGTGCCCCCAAATAGCATAGTTTTCATAGTTTCAGAGGCAAGATTAAAACTTTCTGTGCTGGCTAAAAGTGTGTATGTGAGAGGAAATCATATTCACCTTTCTTTAGTGGCAGCTGGAAACTCCCATATCCATGAGGCATGCCCATGAGGCAATATTTATTTACAGTATTTATATTCTGCCCTTCTCACCCTGCAGGGGACTCAGGGCAGATTACAATGTACATATATATGGCAAGAAGAGTCATGAAGAGTCGGAAACGACTGAACGAATGAACAACAGCAACATATATGGCAAACATTCAATGCCATAGACACACAACAGACACACAGAGGCTATTTAACTTTCCAGCTGTCATGAGGGTATTCTGGCCACCAGGGGAGCTGTCACTTCACTGTCCATTTGTGACACTGATGGAGTACTTCCTCATTCTTTTTTTGCTTGCTTGCTGGAGATTTTATGGCGTTGTAAATTAGTTAAATTAGCTTCCCCACATAAGCGGTACTTAAATTTCCTACTTGACAGATGCAACTGTCTTTCGGGCTACAAAGGTCAACAGCAAGCTACACAAAGGTCGGAAGCTCACTCCGACCTGGGCTGGATTTGAACTCATGACCTTTCGGTCAGTAGTGATCTTAATGCAGCTGACTCCCAGCCAGCTGCACTACAGTCCCGGTGCACAATATATCCACTCTGGGTTTAAGTCTGAACCTTGTGGGAGCTATCCAAGATGCTGAACCTATTTTGGGGGAAAGTTTTGGGAAATTGGACCAAAACCTAAGAATGGTTCACCACCCCATTGACATGCCAGCCCTCACACTACACCTTGCCAAAAATCCTGAGGTTTTTGCTCCAGACTTTGGGCTGCATTTTATATTGCATTTTTAATAACAGAAGATGAGACTTGGAGAGAAAGTTAGGATTAATTTTTGCTGAAGCACAATCACCCCATAAAAACTCTTCTCCTGTACATCTGTCAAAATTTATGGTAGGAAATTTCATGTCCACAGCTTTCGGAGTTGCATTCTTTAGCAAATTGTTATCGGCATTGATGCCTTTCATCTCTCCAAAATGAGCATTTGTGTTAGCACTTTATTGCCTTTACATTTTCACACTTGAGTTCTTACAGTCGCCTGGTCAAGTTCCTTGGTAATGAGCAGAGGGATAATCGTCGTGTTCGCATGATGTCAAGGTCTATTATTAGCAAGATGCTGCACTGTACATTTTCATTGGATTTGCAATATACAATTCAGTGGGGGGCGTGCCCTTGAGGAACTTCGAAAATGGACTCATAAATAAGTGGGATGAAAGAATCCTTTGCCAAACTGTTTTATGAAGTGATGCTTCCTTCGTCTTTTTTAAAAGTTCATTGTTAAGTGAAACAGAAACCAGTATGTTACATTAATTATGACATGAACACAAAGTCTGGCTTTTAAAATTGCCAGTCATTGAATTACTTTTAAAAAATCATTAAAATACATGTCTTGTATTTTTTTGATCACTCCTAACTAGAAGAGACCCATTGAAGCAATTAGGGGGCAGTGTTGTTGCTTCAATGGCTGTACTCAGGTTGGAACTCACAATACAGGTCAGATCTACATCTATATAAATAAAAACACAATGTTTGTTTGTAGGTGTAACATAACTCAAAAACCACTGGATGAATTGACACCAAATTTGGACACAATACACCTATCAGGCCAACAAGTGACCATCACTCATAAAAACGCAGCAGAAGAGAAGCAAAAAGCCAAAAAAATAAAAAAATACATTACAATGCATGCACAAATCACATATATACACATATACACAAATAAACACACACAAAACACATATACACAGACTGGGCCACAGCAGCATGTTGCAGGGGACGGCTAGTTTACCATAAATCTTAAGAGAACAGGTATGAAGAATCCGCTCGAATAGTCCACTCACTTGTATTCCCTTCCTAACTATACCAGAAACAGTAAGAACAGCACTTTCTGTTCAAGTGACATATTATAGCGTGCTGTCTTGTCCCATTTACTTTTGGTGATTTTCAGTTGTGGAGCCTGAGCATATGTATGGACATGGTTCATCACACTAGAGAAAAAATCCACTTAAAATCCATTTTCTGCCTCCTGCGGAATTCTGGGGTTTGTAGTTTAGGGAGAAGCCTCTAACAGCCTCACTGACAACACCGGCACCGAAGAGCCGGTGTTGTCCGTAAACACCTCCAAGGTCATGTGGTCAGCATGACTGCATTTGTCTACTCACAGAGATTTGATGGGATGCAACTATTAAAATATCTGACTCAAGAAAATGGATTCTTGGGTGTTGTTTTAGGAATTGTTTTTACTGCTTTATACTTTGGCTACAAGAAGCTTAGAGGAGATGCGGATAAGCTTGCTCTGCAACTGAAAGTGCAAAGAGCCCAAACGAGTGAGACTTAATGGTGGGAGATGCGTTGCGACATTTGCAGGGCCACCAGTTTGACCATCTTGGCTCAAAATCTCTACAATCTTCCAATTTAATGCAGGGCAAGCTCCATTCTGGTCCCACGATGTAGCATATTTTGTGTTATGGTGACTGTTCCAATGCCACATAAATATGAGGAGCAACTGATAGAGCTGGGCATGTTTAGCCTGCAGACAAGAAAGCCGCAAGGAGACATGATGGCCATGTATAAATATGTGAGGGGAATTCATAGGAAAGAGGGAGCAGGCTTGTTTTCCGCTGCCCTGGAGACTACGACATGGAACAATGGCTGCAAGCTACAGGAAAGGAGATTCCACCTGAACATTAGGAAGAACTTCCTGACCGTGGGAGCTGTTCAGCAGCAGAACTCTCTGCCCCGGAGTGTGGTGGAAGCTCTTTCTTTGGAGCCTTTTAAACAGAAGCTGGATGTCTGTCAGGAGAGCTTTGAATGCAATTGTCCTGCTTCTTGGCAGGGGGTTGGACTGGATGGCCCATGAGGTCTCTTCCAACTCTATGGTTCTATGAACTAATGCAAACGTAACACGGTTTTTGCAAATTATACTTCTGTCTGTTTTTTCTTCTTCAAGGAAGTCGAAGTACGAAACAAAGACCTGGAAGGACAACTGTCTGACCTGGAACAGCGTCTGGAGAAAAGTCAGAGTGAACAAGAAGCTTTTCGCAATAACTTGAAAACACTTTTAGAAATTCTTGATGGCAAAATCTTTGAACTAACAGAACTACGCGATAACCTGGCCAAGCTAATAGAATGCAGCTAAAGGAAATGGGATCTCAGTGCCAACCTTCTTAAAGATGCACTGTCTCTCTTCATAGGACATTGTTGGGCTCTGCATCAAAGTTGCACAAAATTAGAAAAGCGCTCCTCCAGGAGGGCCTGTTTTAAATTTTCAACCGTATATTTCAGTGTAAAATTTTAGAATTCAGCTTGTAGCTAGTTGGAAAAAGAAATAACTTGAATTACAAATTACCTCCTTGTATATAATTGGCCATAGATAACTCGAAAGATATTAACAGTAATTGAATGCAATCCTTTTCTAATTATTAGCCAGTGAAATAATGAGAAGTGCCCCAAATGACATCCCTTCTAGTGTTAGACACGGTAGATGATCTCTTTTGTTTTATTTTCGCGGTCAAGGCACCCAGGTGCTGTGTTTTGTGCAAAAACTTTGTGACGACAGCCCTGTCTTTTGTTGTAATCTTAAAAATCATTTCTCAGGATATTTTTGCACTGTCGAGAAGCAGTGCATTACCAATTAATTCTTGCCAGGAGTGAGAGAGCTTTGCATCTTTAATTAAAACTTAGTGAATAACTGCTTGTATAGAGTTCTTCCCTTTTTTATACTGGAAGATACTGTATTTATTTATGATGTTCACTCTGGTGTTCTTCAATATTGTCCACTGTATGGTTTACTTTTCCCTGTTTTTCGTCCATGTGTGTAGACGTTCTGTAGTCCATTTTGTTACACTTTTTGAAGCCAATCTATGAAGACAGGTGAGTCCCTGTTTCCCGCTCAAAAATTAAAATTCCCTATACACCAATGATTATAAGGGGCAATCTCGTCCTATTAAATGTCACATACGAGGGGTGTTCATTAAATATTTCCCCTGACCCACTTCTTGTGGACTGAGAGCAATGAAACTTGGCACAGTTATTAGTCCTTCTCTCCATTGGTGCCACCTAGGGACACACACTTCTCCCATCTTCTTAAGCAACTATAAACACCTCACTTGTTGAAGTTGACAGGTTGCTCCAAAAGCCATGCGGTGGCTTCGGAAATCCGAGTGTCATCATCTGAAAAATGCTTGCCCTTCAAAAATAACTTCATTGTTGGAAAGAGGTGAAAGTCTGATGGTGTGAGGTCAGGTGAATAAGGGGGATGTGATAGAGTTTCAGAGCCACAGGAACATGCTTCCATTTGGGCAACATGTGAGTTGCAAACTGGTGCATTGTCTAGTAGAAGGTGGACACCCTGAGCATGCCACGTTGTCTCTTGGTTTTGATGGCCTCCCGCAATTTCCGCAGCAGTGAAGCATACTATGCCCCAGTGGTCATGGTACCCTTTGCTTGGAAATCTATCAGTACTACTCCGTGCTGGTTCCAAAATACTGTGAGCAAGTATTGGGCCTTCTTTGGAGGTGGTGAATCATGACCCTTTCATTGCATTGACTGGACTTTAGTTTCAGGATCATAGTGATGGACCCAGCTTTCATCCTGTATGATCAATCTGTTGAAAAAGCCCTCCTAGTTTCCATGGCACATTGTCAATACAGCCTGAGAGCATTCAACTCATTCTTGCTTTTGAAAAGGTGTGAGCAGTCGGGGGACCCAGCGAGAGGATACCTTATGCATGTGAAGGTGGTCTTGGATGACTTTTTCCATGGACCCCATACTAATACTGACATTTTGGACTACGTAGCTAATGGTTATGCGGTGATTTTTCAAAATGGCGATCTCCACTTGCTGGATGTTGTGTTCATCAATAGTCCTGGAATTGGTGCTGTTTCCACTGAAATCTGACCACATTTAAATTGACAATGCCAGTTGCTGACTACGTCATATAATGGGGAATCATCACCATAAACCTCTTTCATCTCATTGAACATCTCCTTTGGCGTGCAGCCTTTCAAATAAAGGAACTTGATGACTGCTCTGAATTCCACTGGGTCCATTATCAAACCTCACACCACTTCAGCACCTGTAAAATCAAGACCGTTGTCATTTCTGAGTTGTAAATTGGCATGTAACCTATAGAGACTTATATCATTACACATGTGCGGTTTCAGCATCCTATGGTAAATAGAAGTGGGTCAGGGAATATCTTTAATGAATGTCCTTCGTAGGTTTATTGCGTTCTGCTACTAAGATGTGTTTATTTAGCATGAAACCTCAAGTTGTAGAACTAAGATGGGGCATTCTCTTCATGTTGACCACCTTTTTTTAAAAAAGACCCTGTAAATTGGTAGAAAACTGACATGGTGTTTCTCTCTCGCTCTCATTTTCTCTGTGTTAGATCTTCACATCACATCTTATTAAAAAAAAAACAAACCACACCAGGCAATATTCTGAACTTCAAACAGGAATTGAATTCAGTTAACCTCAGTGAACATCTTTTAAAGTTGTTTTGATGTAATTTACAAAAGACTTGTATTTCTTTCTATAATATTTTTTTTATTTTGAAGAGGAAAAAAAACCCTGAAAAGTAAGCCAAGTGTCAGAGATGTCTGCTTACTGAATGGGAATGGCATTATGGGACAGTCTTGCTGTAAATTGTCTAATATTGGAGAGGATTCTAAAACACGGATGACAAAAGAACCCACCGCAAAGATGCACTGACCTTTTTATTTACACCCAAATTCATTTGAATGTTCAATACGAAATCCAGCTGCGATATAAATCTCTGTACAATAGGTGATTTTTTTTCCACTTAAGGACTGCTATTCAAAACTTGATAATATAAGTCGGGTTTTTTATGTGTGTACTGTATGTATATACTGTATAATACACGCATTCTAATTTGTATTCAAAGTGGGAGAAGATACATGATTTAATTTATAAAATGCCATTTTCTTTATCTGTCATTGAACAGGTATCTCCTGAAAAGGTCAGGACTGCTATTAAATGAAACCCTAAATTATCATGTATTATACTGTATGTACTGTACACATGAATTACATTTCATCCCTATTTTAGAGTATTTTATCACTTTATTTATTATTGGGGGAATATTTCTTCATCACATTCATAAGTAAAAAGCTTTCTATGGTGAGTTTTTTTTAAACTTAATAGTTAGATGTTGATGATGTGTAATTTTATGAGGTCCTGGACAGTCGTGATATTACCTGATTTTAATTTACCTGGAGACGTTTGTACCTGATTCTCTTGCAACTCGAGCGTCAATCGGAAACATCTTCAGAAAAGTATAAAATTGGTGTAATTGTGAAAGGAATGCAGTATGTTCATGCTGAGTGTTCTTAATTATCACAAGTTAGAACATAAATCTGATGGCAAAAAAGTTACATTATTTTTAATGAGATCGAAATTTTTAATACAGTGACATTTACCAGGTGGGAAAATAACTGTTTACAGACTATTTCCACTGAAATGCTGTGTATATGTGTGGTACAAGAAATTGCTTTGTATATGTACACACAAATATGTATATATACAGTACATGGAAACATTTAAATGTGCACATTTTTAATATTTTCCTACTGAAATTAAATTTTAAAAAATTGGAAATCAATATTTGAGAATTTCCTTTCTCATGTATATTAAGATATTCTGACTTTGGGTTCATATGTTTGTAAAAATAAAACCTATGAGGGCTGCACCATTGAAAAAAAAGTCATCTAATATATATATATATGGGATAAGGTGGATTTAAGTGCACATATAAATAAAATCCTATTAAGAATATTTTAATGATCATTTACAGTAAGTGGGTATTTAGAAACTGTACTCTAGAAATTGTACTCTGAAGTTCTGAATTAGGTATGCGTACCTACTCTCGCCTCTACACTTCTGTATTAAGATAATAATTGGCCTACTGGAAAAAAGGTTTTTCTTTTTCTCAGAGACAGGTATGACTTATTGTATTTATTATAAGATAGGCTGTGGGAATGTATATGCCAGAAAATAATGTTGGGTATAATAGACTTTGGGAAAAAATGCAAAGAACTTACATAGGAGAAACAATCACATTGTGTATAACTTGTTGGTATATGACAAGTATGGAACCTTGTTTTAAAAAAATCTTTTAAAACCCAACAAAATACAATTTTTATTTTGAAATACAATTGTTGTTCTGGAGAATGTAATTTACTCTTCTTTTCCCCCTCCTTCTTGAACTCTTTCTGAGTATTACAGAACTGTTCAATGGATGGCAGCGTTTACCTTAATCCTTCAGGTGCTACTGGATTTTGAATTAGAGTGTCATGTTGTGCAATTCTGACTTTGACATAAAACGGTTTTATAAGTATATCCCTGTCTGGAAGCTGGTTATTGCAGCCTCTTTCTCAGAACTCAGTCCCAGAACATCATGGCCACTTTGTTCTACCAGTGCCGGCCACAGAATTGGCTGCTCCCAGAGCAAAGGATTCAGCCGGGAAGATAGCAAGCCTCCATTCTTTGACTGCAGCTCCATCCTGTCAATGTTTGCTCAAAGGTTAAGTCACTCTGCGTCCAGTGGGGATTCTTCCATAATAAATATGCTTGGAACTGCAACTTTAGTAAGCAAAACAATGTAAATTTAGGTGATCTGTTCTTTAGGAGTGCATCAGCAATGGCCGCAAGCTCTCTGCTACTCTGAGGGTGGTACTACAGTGTCTAACAACATAACACAGGTAAGTGGCACCCCATTTTCCTCTTGACGTTGAGGACGGTGTGGGGAAAATGGCACAGTAGCACTGGCCCATGTGAACCGTGGAGCCAGTTCTGAATCAAAACCAACTGCACTGTTCACACACACACACCATAGTGTAGGGATGCCCCATAGCTTCCCTGAAGCTTTGGAGCATTTTCCAACTTTACCTAACACAGGGCACAACCAGGTTAAGTGGCTGTGCCCCACATTGGGGGCAAGATGGCTCCATGTGTTATCTAAACAACACGGAGATGATTCTCGCTTGCTTCAGGCTAAAGTGCCTATGTAGAAATGCCCTAGGAAACCCACTGTGAAATAAATTAGAATTTATATGAAGTTAGTTTTCGATCTGCTTCCTGGAACATCTGCTATGGGATCATAAATACATGGTTGGTGGACTGAAGTGCTTGGTTGGAGTTTCCTTCCCATAAACAAAAGAACTCCTTCCATTTGCAGAAAAGGTTGCAAACTGCTAGGAAGGAAGGCAGTGTTTGCTGTGCTTTACTTACTGTTGCTACTTCCCATAATATTTATCGCAATATTATAAAGAGTTCAGAATAGCAAATTTTCAAAGCTCATTACGGACTGAATAAGGGATCATCAAAACTAACTCCCATTTCCTCCAGTGGAAACATCAGGAATTCTTTATCCAAGCCATGGTTATTTTAGACAAAGTAAAAAAAAATAATATATTGTTATAAATAACAAGGGTGTGTGTGATTTTATGAACATAGTGGCTGCAGCAGCTGTACGCATCAGCACTCCATGCAGAGTGGATGTGCAAAATGTGTCAATGGCTGGGTGCTGTTCTGCAGTGTGGAACCACAATACACAACCACAAGATCAGGGTATGTGCAACTCTGCCTCTACACTGATAGCTGAAATCACCTGCAGCCCTTTGGTAAATAATTTGTCTTATTTGATTAATATGACTTATATATGTATGTCACTAACAAAACACTAGGCTTTGTTTCAAGAGCAATAATAAATTATGTGGGAGTTTCTTCCAAGTAAACTTCCTTGTAGGATTGGGTTACAAATCGGTTTTCTACCTTTCTTTGTTGGTAGCCAGGTCTCTGGGAAATGAAGGTTCTTTTTGGGGTATACAAATAGTAAGATACCCGTTTCCATGGCACTTTTGAGGATATAAGCAGTGTTCCATAGACAGGGATAATGATGAAGGAGCTCTGTGAATAATCTTGGGCCAAAACACTACCAGAACATGATGGTAACTTTGGAACAACCAGCTCTTTAGACTAAAAATCTGCTTGCTTGATTATGCAGAATAAGATTCTATGTCCAACTGTAGGAATATTGAGTTTTATCTCGTTTTGTTCCAACACATGGGTTTGTCAATTGGTTTTTGATATAAGGAAAATTGACACAGCTGCAAAACTAGAAGCAAAATACAGATTATTGTCCTGGCCTGCCAAAACTGGTGGGAAAAAAAAACCTTGGGTATCCAAGGGCATTTCAACTTGACTGATGTTTATGTCTTTTGATCTTGCACACTGAAAAAGTAAACAAAATTAGTACAAATGGGACTTGCAGTAAAAGATTCCCATTTAGTATTCCTATTGTTCAGACTTCCAGGTAACTGATCATCCTTTTCTCCAAGAGAGCATCCAGATGAAGGTTTTTATTGTGCAGTTATAAGATACTTCTATGGTAGCTACAAATGCTTCAACTAGACTTGCAGACTTGTGATGTTACATATTCACAATCCCTACATAGCCCCGTATGTGGTGCATGCTGTTTTCCTTCTCACTCCTTCTGAAACCTCACCAAAGCATGCTCTCTGGATATGTCACATCCTCACTGAACTGTTATATTTCTCACCTTCAGAGTCTCCCCCTATCTCTCAAAGAAGCTGCATTTTGGCAAGCTTTTGATTTCCCAAACTTGTGCCTTTACACATATTGTGCCCATTTCCTCCCCATAGAAGGGCTCAAACACAGAGAATAAATGTTCTAAATATATTAAATGATGTCAAGAGAGTATACCTATTCACATATGTCAGCTGTTATTATATTTTCCTTTACCATGGACCCCCTTTTAATATCTTTTATTATCATGGCCCACAAGACTTAAGTCAAAACTTGTGGTCCTCAAAATTGAATTGCATCAAATATTTATTTACAAAGGTCTTTAGATTTGGAAGGGTCTTATATTTGCAAAGAAGTGCTGCATAAGTAAATGCTTTAGACTGTAATGCAAAACTTGGGGTTTTGCATTTGGGATTTTGCACTTGGGGTTTTGCATTACATTTAGGGTTTAAACTACCAGAATCCCCCAAATCAGCTACAAGGAAGGATAATGGGAAGAGTATCCCCCAGGCATTAGAGTTTGTCTTTTCAAGATCGACAGACCTGTGCTTGGCCTCCAGCTGGACAAGATTTGTGAAGGTGTTGAGCCACAATTCACTTCTGCAGGTAGGATTTGATGTTGGGGATCCTAATGCAGAGGGTTGGCCTTGCTGGCGCTCAGGCTTGTTGCCATGCCGCATGCATCTTCATATCAGGTCCACCCTTGTCTCCAATGGCAGTTCTCATCCTTGTAGTGGCTATACCTCACTAGTGCATTAGGTCTTGCCAATTGCTGAATCTATTGCTGGGGTGGCAACATTGCTAGGCAATGGTGCATGCTTCCTGTGCATGGACGCCCCTGCGGTTGTCATGACAGTGCCACCACAAATGATAGGGACAGAGAGAGAGTTGGCGGTAAAGAGAAAGATAGCCCTTCTCTATATCACCTTATCTTCTACAAATAATTTTTTATAGAGTCAAGATCTGATCATCCATCTGTCTGGCCATCTGTATCTTCCTTCCTTCCTATCTTTCTATTTTAACTGTAAAAGCTCATACCATGACTTCAAGCCTTCATAGACCACTTGGGATGATGTTGTAATCCTCTATCGATCTGTGGACAAGTTAAGAATTACTATTCTGTGTTATTCTTCCAGATGTGTTCAGACTGCCAGTCTTCTCTGGGGCTTGGTAGTCAGAGGCCTCTTCTTGCTCTTTTCCTGGATTCCTTGTGAGGATATAATTATTTCATAGAAGCAAACTGTACTGCTGTCAGGAACAGGAGAGCACTCAGCCATGCCACTGGTGACAAGGAAGTTACCCCACATACTAAAACTTGGCACATAAAGATGGCACTGTACAGTACAATGAAACCTGGTAATCTAAGAAATTAACTTCTCCAGGTTTTTCCACCTCAAAGCAGTAATGTATAGTTATTTTTAAATCCATTACATTAGAGCCAAATTAGGAAGAGAATATCAGTACAGGTGGAATCCAACTGATTGCAATAACTTTTCTGGCCTGCTGCTATAAAGGGACACAACCCTTGGACTTTGCAAGAAGGGGCTGTATTTTCTCCTAGTAAGGGATGGAAGCCCCAGCATCTCGAAGAACGAAAACAGCATTAGAGATTGGCCAGAGAAGGAGGAATGGACTGAAGAGGTAGGTGTCAAAGGAAAACAAAATAGAAATCTGTGTGTGATCATTATGCAAATTCTACTTATTTTAAAACATTCCACTTTTTTCTCAGTACTGATCTCCCCATCCCCCCAACTGATCACCTATTTCTGTGGAGGTATCTGCTTGATGTTTTTTTCCCATGTTAGGAGCGACTTGAGTAACTGCAAGTCGGTTCTGGTGTGAGAGAATTGGCTGTCTGCAAGGACATTGCCCAGGGGACGCCCGGATGTTTGGATGATTTACCATCCTTTTGGGAGGCTTCTCTCATGTCCCCGCATGGGGAACTGGAGCTGACAGAGGGAGCTCATCCCCACTCTCTCCAGATTCGAACCTCTGACCTGTCAGTCTTCGGTCTTGCTGCACAAGGGTTTGACCCATTGCTCCACTGGGGGCTTCTTATCTGCTCGGTGATTAATGAACTTCCTTTTGCCAGGAGCTGCTAGAGTAATAGACCAATTGGGTTAGGGGAGTAGAGAAGATCTCTGCACTCTATAATTCTCTTTACTGAGACAGGTCCACAGAATAAGGACCACAAAATAAGTGAGTCAATAAATCATAAAAATAATCAAACTATAAAAATGCTAAGTTGTCCTAGTTGCTGTGCAAAGATCTGCCGAGAACAAAATGATTTCACGTTAAAATTGTAATACTTAAACATTGTTTTGCTGGATTTTTCTTCTTCTTCAAACCCCCTTTTGGGGGGGGGGGGCTTAAACAAGTAACTTTTCTATGAAACTTATATGGTCACTATAAGCCAACAGGTGACCTGAAGGCACATCCACACACTCCTTAACTTGTTCTTCTGAAGGCACTGCCTGAAGCAGTATACTTAAGTTCAACTCTGGCTCATTGCTAGCTTCCAAGAGTAGCTCTTGAAATTTTAGCTGAATGCAAATGTGCCGTTGTAGGCATGTTTTGCGTAATAGCAGAATTTTGCGGGCAAGGCAAGCAGGGTTCAATCAATGGTGAAGTGAAATGATGAGCACTAACTAGATTCAGTGAAACCATCATCCTGTTCAAAATTCAGTAGGTGAGCAGGGACTCCTTGTGCAGAATATGACCAGGACCATATGTTGTCTGTGGATTCTGAGAGTTCCAGTCCAAAAATCTGGTATTTAAACTTTTGAACTAACCTAGCACACAAGAACTGAGCAGACAAAAGCTATTTAATTATTGTGTGCCCTCGAGCAGTTTCTGACCTATGACAATCCTAAGGTGAACCTATCATCAGGTTTTCTTGGTAGGTTTTGCCTTCAACCTTCATCTAAGCCACAGAGAAAGTCACTTGCCCAAGCTCCCCAGAGGTTTTTTAATGGCAGGACAGGGATTCAAACCCAGGTTTCCAGAGCCATCGTCTGATGCTCAAACCTTGACACCACACTGGCAATAATTTCTAAGAAATGATGAAATAATCTTTGTTCAAATAAATATCCTTTATTATTAAAGAAAACAAAAGAACGTTTTAAGCACCAAAAACGTTTAAAGTATGTTGTTACATTGCATGTACAAGAGACAAGTCATTCAGGACTTTAGGTACAGGTTTGAATTCTGAAGCCATGGTAGTTTAAAAATATTCTGAAGTATGAAGCAATACAATAAATTTCCAGAAAGACTGCACTAGAGAGAGGGAGGAGCAAAAAGGCAAACAGGTAAAAAATGCAAAATATTGCTAATGCTCATTTAGTTTATGCATTTTGCTTAATACTTAAGAACACTGAGCATTATAAAGGTATTGCAAGTTGCAGGAGTATTTTAGAAATGTAATGTCCATTTACAATGTCCATTAAATACAATAGTGTTAAAGTAACATAGCACAGTGTGCTGCTTTTTACTCTACTCTTTGCACCTAAGTGAATAGTGAATTTCTGATTTTTTTAGCTTTCAAAAATGAAACGTTCCATTTATATTTAACAAGGTTTACCCATGCAACATAATCAATAGTTTTCTGCATTCATACTAACAAGCTCCACTCTTGGCAGCTCATAAAATGGGGTGTTATGTAGGCTGTCGCAACATGAACATAAAAACATGATACTGTGAGATTCTTTCTGTGGATCTTCTGCCTTTTTTAAAAAGGCAAAAGCAGACAGTGAGGCAGAATGCACTTGTTTAACCCATTCCACATACATCATTCCCCCATTTTAATACTTTCTCTTTTGAATCTTCTGCTTTCTGCATTGGGTACTTCTTGAGGATATGAATCAGGAAAACTGAGTTGGGTTGGAAGAAGATTACTAAACAAACTTATTTGGAAAGCCTTGTGTCTGTGATCATTTTAAAAACAAAACAACACACGAGGTATCTACTGTGTCTCTCAACTTCATATATCTTGCTTTACCTACTTCAAGTGCATAGACATAATATAGTGATAGCCATTACTGAATAGTACCACTTTGTACTGCATGTAGGTGGTGGCACATTTTGAGTGCTCTTCTTTGACATATTTTTAAAAACTAGCTACAAGCTATGATGTCTGAGATAAGGGTTTCAAGCGTTGCTGCTTCCCTAATCCACTGAGTTTACTACTTGTAGGAAGAACATATTTCTCACTTGCATTAAGTGGAATAGCCCAAGCAGAACAGTACAAGGCAGTGTTTCCTTCAGTCTGAACCAGCACTGAAAGTGAAAGAGGCATATGTATGTACACTTTGACAAAAATGAAAGGGAAGAGTGGAATGGGATGGGAAACAAAGCTAGCATCTAAATTTGTACCATTTCTTGTAATCAAAAATACCTGGGAACCGGATCATAGCAATTAAAACCACATGGGATGCAGATGACATTATAAGCAAGTGGTAAACCTCAGTAAACACATAACTTCATTTACAAATCCTGAAAATTGCACATTTTATTACTATTTTAAAAGTGAAACACTCAGACATTTAAAGCCTTCCAATGAGGATTCTTGCGGTCATTACTTTGTACTAACCCACAAGCTTATGGATTCATAAAGGTCATTCAGTTTAGATATCCTGTATCACTCTGTCCATTTTCTGAGGTGAGCTGTCCCAGACAGTTACAGGAGATTCAGAGAAGAGAAGCACCAAATGGACAGATCTAATTGTTCATTAGGGCCTATGGCAGTTCAGCCCAGTACTGCATATATTCTCTGAAATCACCAAGTAACTCACACAGGATCCATTCAGGCAATGCTTATACCCAAGATGAGATCAGATTAATTCATACCTCTTCCATCATTGTAAGTCAGTCTTGCTGAGCAAGGATTCAGACACTTTGGTTGGATATGGTAGTCAGTCACTGCTTCTAAGAGCCAGTGAGGATTGACTTCCTTGCTCTAAGTTGCAGGAGCAAAAGTGAATGTGATTTTTTTTTTTTTGCAACCCCATGGCGAGGAATTTTTACAAATAAATGAACAACAGGTGATGGATATTCATAGGAATATCTCTCTTCCAAGTCTAGGCAAAAGCTGCCCCCAAAATCATGATGCACCCTGGTCTTTTTTTAAAAAAGCCATTCTGTGCCAAATTGGGAAATACCATAGAAACTCATGTACAAGTCTAGAAACTTTAGTTGAAAAACCCAACTCCAAAAACCTGGGCTGACTTATCCATGGGTCAATGTGAGTACTGAGCTGTCAATCTTATCAGAAAAGAAACTATCTCTTTATCTGAATAGAGCGGTGAAAGGCAAGTGCTACAAGTATTTCTTCAATTGTAAGACTCCATAGATTGCAAGACGCACACTAATTTCAATACCACCACCACCACCACCAAAATACATAAGATACCTGCAATTCTAAAATGCACCCTCAAACCCCCCCCCCATGCATTTTAGAGATGTTCATATAAGAGGGAAAGTGTATCTTAGAATTGAAGAAATACAGTATTAAACTGACCATAAATTGACTGAGAACATGATCCCTCTGGGAAAGTTACTTTTTGTTTACCATAGCTCCCAGAACACCCCAACCAACACTGCCCTAAGTGAAATTTTGTAAAATCTACTCCCAGCCAGAACCACACAAATGCCACTAGTGACTATATTTGTAGCATTTGGGTATGCTTTGTACTAATCCCACAATTATTTCAGTATGTGATCTCCTTAGATTGGGGCAAGCTCAGAGAAGGCTCTCTATGTTGGGGAGAGGTCAATACAGTCTGTAGTTCACTCTAATTTCACCCTGGGTACAAAACTAGGGCAAAAGCATTTCCTGAAACAGGCCCTCAATCACGTTCAACATCAGAGACAATGCAAACACTGGAAGAAGTGAATAAATACATTTCTGAAATGCAAGACCTGGAGCATTTGTAGACCTATTAAGGCCTTTATGTGCCAGACATGAAAGGGGGGTTGTTTATATTTTGTCCGCCTTAAAATTCAAAGCCAAGAGTTCCATGTGAATTATTTTTAAAAGAGGGTTGCGCAGAACCCTACCAGCTGTTAGGAACTGTGGGAGCTGAAGTCCAAAACACCTGGAGGGCCAAAGTTTGCCCACACCTGCATTAATGCATTAATAAAACAATGTCATTTTTTCAACTAAAGAAGACTTGCTAATAAAAGCCCAACCCATAGAATTGTGAGAGCAGTAAAATAAAGTATCCCGCTGCCTCCTGCATATTTGAAGTTGTCAAAGTAATAGGACACCACATTAAATTCCTATACTTCGTTTCACTATGCTTCCCCAAAGCTCTTTCCTACTGGACAGGGGTCAATACTGATAGCAAGGTGTTTTCAAATGACTTTAACAGCATTTGAATACATCTCACAAGTTCTCAATAAGGTGCTTCCATCATTTGCAAAAAAATTATCCCCTTGCAAGTCTTTCCTGTAAGCCTATTTGCTTGACAAGTTACCAACATTAGATCTATCTTGCTTCATGCTTCTGAGAGCATTATGACTAACACAGGTGACTGAACTACAAACACATTACAGTAAGAATAAAATGTGCTCATAAATCCAAATAGCTTTAATGTACAATTCACTCTTTAAAATCAGTGCAAATAAATAAAAATGCTGACTATTCGTGTGTTTCTCCTTTTCACAGGACTGAATTAAAAACACAGAGGGACTCTGTAGGCAAGTGTCAACGTAAGACAAAAATCAAGAGCAAAGCTTTTTAAGGTGATTCACTCCCTCTAGCCCTGCAAGACATGACTTTCAGGGCTGCTACTTATTTATGTTTACCTCTCTCTTTTTAATTATATAAGCTGTTTTGAAAAGCTCTGAATAAACAGTTGAATTAAGAAGCAAAACTATCTACGTTAAATGATACTGAAGTTACTAAAGCAACTAAAATTAAAGACTCGTGGGATTATTCGACAGAAGATGAAACCACTTCAACAAACAATGCTGTTCCCCTTCAACATAACAAACATTTTTTTTCGTGGAAATAAATGTCTCTGTGCCTTGGTCCCCTTATTACACAATTCCTACACCACACCACTTATTACCTGGCATTTACTGTTCCTTGAGAAAGTCCATAACCAACTCCAGGAATATCCAGCTAAATCTAGACTACATTCAACCAGTTTGAGATACAAACTATAATATGGACCAGAAAGTGATTACAAACAGTGAGTAGCCAATATAACATGATAGTACTGTACGATAATCTGCAGCATACAAATTCTGAAATGCATTTTTCATGCACATTTATCAGCTGCAGATTTGAACTTCATTCCATTCAAACATTGAGCCAAGTTATCTTCTTAACTGCTTATGTATTTTCCAAACTTGTTCTGGGAAATGCACTCACAGATTGCAACCTAATGGGAACTTTCAGATGCATTGGTGTGAAATAATAAAATTAGAAATTACTATTATTCTAAAACTTGCAAATTTAGTAAGGAAGTTGCAGATGGAGACAAAGCCATGGTCTTAAGATCTGACAGATTTGTGTAAAATGTTCAGTGTTAACTGACAGCCAGGTTAATCTCTTCTTCCTAATGGATCATGAAAAAATATACAATTGCAACAAAAACTCTGGATATGAGATCAACCATTGTACAGCAGTCAATATATATATAAAATATGTTCCTATGAATAAGTCATTTTACAGATCCAAGCCAGTTTCATATTCTTGCAGAAATTAAACTGTCAAACAGTTGTTTAAACAAACATGCAGTTTTGAAGGCAAACATCTCATATATATCAAGCCTAAACACCGTACAATCATCTTGAGAGCTTCATAAACTCCTCACACGAATTCATAATTTGTGGATGCAAAACAGTGCAAAGACAAGGAGTGCTGCTTCTTTTTTTAAATCAAGTTTTTGTCTCCTCCTGTTGTTAATATATTAAAAGGTCTGGCCACTGAAATGTGCTTCTTGAAGCTCCTGCTATGATTGTGCAAAGCTTTACATGACCCACACGTCATCTCAACTTTTAGAAGTCCATGTTTGTGCCATGGCTGCGAGTTCAAACACAGTATATTATATAGTGGAAATCTGGAGTGTAGGGTGACTAAACGGCAAAGGCACACCGACTACATACAATACAGTTTATGCAAAAGGTTAGAAGAGAAATTTGCAGCTATTTAATTATTGCCACCAAACCCTGCACTGTATGAGTTTAGAACCACATACTATAATGCAATTTGGGTTAATATGCAGTAAGTTGGAAATAAACTTATGACATCTGTTCTTTGGGAAATTAATGTTCAATGCATGATGCAACTAATTTACTTTTTTCTCCCTGCAGAAAAGTTCTCCTATGTTAACTGAATGCATGCTGTTCTCAAGCTTTCCTTTAGAAATTTCAGACAATATAAGGCAATAAAAGCAGATGAAAAAGTACACCTGCCAGCAGCATGACAGGTGCTCCATAAAAATATTGGATAGTGCTACTATTATTGGTTAAAGTGGTCTCTGTTGCAGACCCAAAGGTTCAAGAGGACTAAGGTATGCAATATATCAGTCAGTATTCTCATTACTTCATCTATTTTTAAAAGGGAAAATAACAAGAAATTTAACCTCTTGTTCTGAAAGGTAAGTTAGTTTACCTGTTCCTTCCAAAATACATAGTTCATGGAAGCTACACGTAACAAGGAATTAGTATGAGAAATTGTTGAAAAACGGATTGGTTTTTATATAATCAATAACTGATTCCCAAACAAAGTATACACTTTAAAAATGGCCAACCTCAAGATTCTTCTACAAGTAGTTTTTCATCAGGAGTTTTAATAATGGCAACATTTGTCCAGATGTAGAAATACTGTTCAGTATTTTGGTATTATAAAACGAGCTGCCTGCAGCTATTAGTCATGCTGTTTGGGGATTACGTTGCTTTAGATAATTCATTGCACGGAAGGTAATGCCTCCATTAGACCATTGGACAACCAGAGATAACAGGAAGCATATTTTCCAATAAGCAGGGTGTTACGTAATTAAAATACATCTAACAATGAACAAGAATAATGAAATATAATTAATGTCCAACATAAAAGCAAAATCTTATGTCAGTTTTTCATTCTTTTTAAATAAAGGTTTCTTAGAGCAATCAAAGAACAGTTAAACTAATAGACAAAATAATTTTAAGTATTCTCATTACAAAATATTGCTTCTATAAATAAAAATTTATGTAACTTTTTTATAACCCAGCCCTGCAATTAAAATGTTACTATTAATAAGAGCACGGAGAAATTTAATTCAAAAATATAAGATGTACACAGTATACATGGCCTTCTAAAAGGTTGTTATATACCGGTTCAAATGTTCTCAGCTGTAAACAAATACATTCTTGTGTGTTTCTTAGGGTACTTTCCATTACTTTGTACAGCAATTTGTTCTCATTTTCAAATTAATTTGTATTTTGTACTATGAATAATTAACCAACGCCTTCTCTCTCTGAAAACCACCTCCTGTATGGAAAATATGGTAAGAAATGAAGTGTTTCGTGTGAATTCCTGTTGTTGCATAAATTAGCGGATGTCAAAGTTGCATGTTGGGTCCTCAGTGGCAAAATCTTCAGTGAACCAAAGGCAGAATTTCCTGGTAATTTACACTAGGTCAAAGCTTTGCTGTCATTCCCGTTGAATTGTTATTTCACACAAATGTAAAAAGTGAGTGAAGAATCAGAAAATATTTGGAAAGGTATAGTCTCCTCAGAGTTAAGCAAAATGCCTACCTAAATAAGGTGAGTTTTGGTCCAACCAGAAACTTCTATCATGATTTTTTAAAGGTAACCCCAGCTCTAAATGGAAATATCAAAATGCTCAGAGAAAGCTTTTCCTTGCACTGAAGATGTTAATCAAACTGTTGACTCTGAATGTTCCGGGGATGAAAGGATGATCACTGTGGAATCCTTAGATCTGTTTTTTGGGATCCTTAGACCTGTTTCAGAAATTAAAAAAAAAAACAGTTTAAGAACAAACTGCAAAATTGCTCTTTAACTAGAAGTTCTACCCTTCTAAACTGAAATCTGTTAAGTACACCTGTTCCAATCCTTCAGATTTCCTACAGTCACTGCTACATGGATCTCTGAATCTGTGCCAACACCACATTCATTTCATGCTGCTTTTTGTAAGAAACAGATCAACATGGAGCTACTAATCAAGAGAAATAAGATGACACTGCTGAGAAGAATTTTGCTCCACTGGTGAATATATTCTAAGCATTTGTGGTCTTAATAAAACACTAGCTTGTACTAGTGATCATTGCATATAATGACACAAGTTCCATAAAGCTTATTAAAACAAAGTTTTAAAAAAATCTTCAAGTGAAATAAGATTCTTCCAAAGCCCCATCAACTGAGATGATTCCATGAAATGATGGTTTAAGAATTTATGGCACAACTCAAAATATGTGATCATATCTAAATTCCACTGAATATTCATACCAGATAGAAGGATTTATTGATAAGAAGCGAGAAAACAAAATAAAAAACTTCTGAATGTAACTCCTATATGGATGTTTTGGTATGTAAACCACAATTAATACATTCAGGTATGCTTTTCTATAAAACGCTACAGCCACTTGTTGGTTCGCACAAACAGTATACTATTTCCAACACAATTTATAATAGTGTTCTCACTTCACACTCACTCCCACAATACATATTTCTAGCAAGCCAAGTGCTTGCTGGGTTTTTTGTTTAAATTATGAAATGTATTATTTATTGCACATAAAGAGAAAAGAAACCAATAAAAATATTGATTTGGAGTGGAGAGTAACAAACATCAGAACAGTGACCAAGCAGAGCAGTTCAACAGGCCATCAGACTTAGCTTCAACACATGACAGATTCCGGCAAATGCCAAGGACCACAGACTCTTTCACCAGATAATTCAACTGGTGGAGAAGGCAGCGGGGCAGGTGGGGGAATAGTCTTAATGGTATCAATGGAGAAACAATATGGACTCCAGACTCATTGGCTTGGCGTTCTTAGGGTGAAGGCAATGGCAGCCATCCTAAGAATGCCAGTCCATAGATCCTTTTGCCAGACATATGGTCTGGACTGGATCAACTGAACTCTTTGAACAAAATAAAACAAACTCTTGCCTTGAGGAGCACACTAGGCAACTGTAACACATGGTTTGAGCTCCGGGCAGATGCCCGAGTTTGTGGGCACTGTTGAACTAGACACTTGTTTGCTGCTCTCCCCATTCATTTGGAGTAAGAAAAGAGGAAATTGAGGGTTAGACAAGAGAGTATGGTAGGAACATTAAAAATGTGCTCTGAAGCTGCCCTGAATGAGCTGTCTTTCTGAGGCGCTTCCTGAGGCCCTGACCTATTGCTGTTCAAACCAAGGCATCCACAATGCAAGGCCATTTTTTTTTAAATAATCTTTATTAGTTTTTCCATAAAAAAAGAAATATAATGCAAGGCCATTTATGAAAGTAGACCCATCATGTCACAATGCCTAGGGTTCTGTCAAACCCCGGGTCAATGGTGCAGGCCAAGGTTGTATGGCAGCTGTGGCCTAGTTATGATAGAAGGAAACTGAGCAGAAGTGAAAGACAACTGCTTAGGTTCCTTTAAGTGGACCCCAGCATGTTAAGCTTCTGATGTTCTCAGTCAAATGCTTGGCTTTGTGCATCCCGAGGATCCACCTTCCTCCTTCACTTCCAACAGGAGAACATCATGGTAAAAATGTCAATATTTTGCATTTGGAGGGGACACAGCTCAATGGTAGAAGACAAGCTTTACATGTAGGTTCCCTATCCCATCTGTTTAATTGGTATCAGCTGGAAAAGGCTCACATCTTGTGACCCTAAAAGACTCAGGAGGATGAAATTACGCAATCCCAGGGAAGGTGAAGTTATTTGTCAACATAAGGCAGCCTCATACACAGCACAATAAAATCTGTTAACAAGAATTGTACTTTTATCTTTCATTTCTGGATGTTCTACTTCTTTCACATCAGGTTGACTTGTACAGTAAATCAGTAATTTCACCCTTTGAATAGTTACAACGTAAAATTGATTTTCTCTTTACTGAAAAAGTTGCCTTACAGTCTTGGGAAGTGACCTCCCTTCTGATTAAATTTATCTGCAATTAGTTACCGGCATGCCAATTCATATATTAATTCAGTGGGGCCAACTCTGTCAAATTGATAACAACCATGTTGAGAAGAAATCTTATATTCTATTAATGATACATATGTTTAAACCTGCAGTCCCAGAGATCAGATTAAAACTTTCACGCAATGTTTGACTGTGACTCAATCTCTCTATGAACATGGTTTTCTCAATCTCGCAATCCCTCTCTCCCTCCCTTCCTCTCTCTCTCTCTCCCCACTGACACAAATTATTGAGATCCACTGGTAACTATTTCACTTTACAGAAGAGCTCCCAGTGTACTCAAAATGCATTGGCAGCTAAGGACACTTATCATAAATGGAAAAAAGTCCAGAATAGTCCAGAATATACTGAACATTAAAAATTGCTTAGGATATTTGTGAAGAATCATACATGCACAAAATAACATATTCTACATACTCATCTATATGTTCATTTCTAAGTCAAAGGCAATTTTGGAGGCCAAAATTATCTATTTTAGTGGGACCCATTTATGTTGTAGGTCATTCCACAGAGAATAATAATAAGTATTATTATTGTTATTATTTTATTTCTTACCCGCCTCTCCTCACAGCTCGAGGCGGGTCACAACATTGCTAAAAAACATAATCAGAAAGGGAAAACATCAGTCCTGCTCCAGGGACCAGCTGCTACCATTTCCACACCCAGAGATTCAGAAATGTAAGAAGTGGCATGTAGCAGAGAGAGTAAAACGGGTCTATCCTTTCTTTAGGTTCTCTTGGGATGGAATAAATTCTCATCTTTTGCCACTCTACTCAGAAAAGAGCATGGACACACACACACAGACACAAAGTTACAGTACTCACATTGACCTGTGGATAAGTTGACTCAGGTTTTTTGGGCTGATTTTGACTAAATTTTCTAGACTTACATATGAATACATAGGATAGTATGAAAGCATTCCAAAATATCATCCAATTGTACACCATTTGGGAATAATTGGGGAATAACAATCTCTATATACTACTTACACATTATATTAATTATAAAGCATTACTTTGAGGTGTAATGACAGTCTTTTTGATGATGCGTTCCCCTTGCACAACAAATCATGTTACTTATACTCTTCACTGGGTGTGGAAAAATATGGGACATAAGAGGTTCTATCCTCTCGCTCACACACACATTTTAGGTCATTTCCATGTTTTTAATGGGGTGTTGAACCAGTGAAGAGAAAACATTACCCCCCCCCCCACTCCAATGTCCAACACCCCCTTCCCCTTGTTGCTGCACAGTAGCTGTTCGTCTCAACAGAATTATAATTTTGAACATATATGAATGCTGTAGGTCTTAAGCTATTATTATTATCCTCATCATTAGTAGTAGTAGTAGTAGTAGTGGTATTTATACCCTGCTTTTTCCTCTCCACAAAGAAGACTTCAAGCTACATATTATATTTCTCATTGCTAACAGGGAGGAGGGCAAAACGGTATTAACAAAAAGAGTGATAAAATATATAAACAAAGTAGAAATATTTAACCTTAGTTTTCCCAATCTGTGCAAGGCAGGTTCTCGTCCTCATCTTCAGACTCTGGTGATGCCTCTTTAATTCTCCGTAGAGCTTCATGGATGCTGCGTGTCAAAGGGTCGTCATCAGGCAAAATTGTGAATGACTCCCTCATGATGTCCTTTTGCACCTTCTTCAGCTTCACACCTTTTCGTATCTGTGCCAAGATGTTGTTGCTGTCATCTTCATCCGGAAAAGGAGGGAGGCTTCTCTGTTCAACTTTCCTCAAATGGAAGCTACCTCGTTTCAAGGAGGCCAATACCTCATCCATTGGGGAACTTACTGCAATAAAGCACAGCATTCATCAACCATATTTTATCATATCATAGCTCACAACTGTTCACATTCTGTGGTATTGGATTTTATGGAGCATGCACTCAAAAGAGAAAAACACATTTTAGAATTACCATCGCTATTTCTTTTACCCTCAAGTATCTTCTGAATCCAAATTATTACCATTGTTGAAACATAAACTGAATACATCAGTTATAAAACATTATCAATATAAATGATTTCATTTGTAATATATCAACATCAAATCCCACTAGAACTTCCAGCAGGTGGACTTTTTGGGCAACTTTTCCTCTAGGAAAGGAAATGAAATAAACAATATATTCTGAAAATACTGGCAATGACTCTACAATATACTTCAAAAAGTACAACATTCAAAACTAAGTGAAGAAGACCCACATCACATCTGTTCTGTGGGTGTCAAGCCCTCATCTACTGGGATTTTCTTTATATCTGGCAAACTGTCTTATAAGTAAACCTGGGCAATTTTTCTATGCTAAGCCAACAAAGCTGGAAATAAAGAAGTCTTTTCAGTATTGATTACACAGATCTGCAAAATTAAGAAGCAAAAACCTTTTTTTAAATGTAAACTGGTTTTATATGAATGTTACATTCTAAATCCAAAATTATTTTCAGATTTGCTTCATTATGTGCTGTTTTTTCACAACTTGCTTTGTCTTTGTTTAAAATTTTGTAATATGTAACTAGATAAGATTTCTTTGGGGAGTAAAAACAAAAAAGGAAAAAGAGGTTAGAGTATTTTAATTGACTTAAAAACATTTAAATTCACTGATATGAAACATAAACACCCCTTCAAAAACTTTAAAAGAAACTGCACTGAAACATCAGTGTTCACACTTAATCAAAAGAGAGTAACAACTGAATTGATAAAAATACCAAATGTGTGGAAAAATCTATGTGTAGCATAATATTTTCTATGTATTTTTTAATTCAGCAGCCAAAATATTTTAATAACAACTACAGTAATGCACAGGAGGCATGTGTTATTACATGTAACTTAGAAAGCCAATCAACTCTCTTTTCATATCCATCCCCTCTTATAAGCCAGGAAAATTACTATATTATTGGCTATTTATGAACCCTTTTTAAATACAGTCATTTCTTCATGCAGGAGTGGGGTTAGGATGTGTTCCTTTTAGTATACATTTCAACAAACTTCCATTCAAAACTACTAATCAACAAACCCATTTTTTTCTACTGACAGGTTTGAAACTCTGTTCTTGAAAGCTCAGTGCTAAAAGCAAATGAAATATTTCTGGGGACTATATTAAATATGCAAATTAGCAGAAAATTGTTTTGTATAGAATATTCATCTGATAATCATAGAATGTAGTAAATATATATGAAAGGTATAACACCAATACTTCATACAAACTAATAATAAAGGAATAAACAATGCTAACACTAATAGTAACAATATTCTCAACGTGGTCTTTAGTAATTAACTGGGTTCCAAAGATATACTTTATCTTTGACTTTTTTTTTTCATTAAACAAAAGACGTTTGGGTCATAATCACAAAATGCTTTTGAAAAATCCACTGGTTCCCAACATACAACTATGGATTGAAGGCTTCAAATAAGTTTGAAGCTGGAGTAATTTTACATTAGAAATATCTACGAACAACATTTAGCTAGAGGGCGCAACCTAGTGCTGTGATCTTGGAAGGTATTTGTCATATATGTCCAAAGTAGTAAAGTTTTCGACCTAGGAAACGGGAAGCCAACAGAAAAATGGGGGGGGGGGGGGAAGGAATTGTACTACTATATTACATTTTACTGTGAACAAAACATGTAATGCCTGCAATACAATTGTGAAAAAATGGGAAAAGAAAAAAAATCTATTCTTTAGGGTGCAGAATTAGTTCAGCTCTTTGGACACTTTCCATTATTTTACATAACTATTGTTATTTATATAATGAGAGTTGGAAAAGACCACAAGGGCCATCTAGTCCAACCCACTGCCATGCAAGAAAGTATAATCAAATCACTCTTGACAGATGGCAAAGAATCAAAGTAATCCAACAGAAATGAAAAAAATTACCTCTCCTCCTCTGCATCCCTTCTAGATCACCAGTCTTCTTCAGTTTTTTCTTGGCACTGACCAACTGGCTGCTATCAAAGAAATGAGCTGATGGAGCAATTGTGTTCAGTAGTGATGGCTTCTCCATGATGTCCTGTTTGATGGGGCTTGTGCTTTTGTCGGCACACTGAGTCGATTCTTCTTTGATCGGCAAAGGTGGGGGAGGTGGGGGTGGGAGCGGAGGAGGAAGGGGCGCTTCCTGGACTGTGTCAGGCTGAACATTATTACTGTCAGGCGTTGGAAGAGAAGTCGTTTGAGAAAATTCAGAGGTAAGACCACAGGGAGGTAAAGAGGTATCTTCAAGTTGTCCTAAACTCCTAGGTTCCTGGGTTAACAAAGGATGGATCGGTTTCTCTTGCTCCAAATTTTCAGTCTGCGTAGTTACTGGTGAAGACGGGGACTGATCTGCACATGGAGTTGAACAAGCTGTACTTTTTTTTCTTGCATGGGCCAGACGAAGCCTAGTTGATTTGAGTATTACCTGTCCAGGGTAGCGCTTAGGAGGGGAATAAATGGGTTCAAAATTATACAACAGCTAGTACTTCTTGACAAAAAATGTGCTTTTAATACTTTGTTTCAATTGACCCATTAGGCCTACTAAATGACACAAGAACTATTTCTTCTCATACCAATTATACAACTGATATTTCTGAAACTTTAGAATAATCTATTTTAATGCTCCCAATTAGAAGAAATAGGACATGTTTATGTAAGTTCTAATGAAACTTTATTAAACATGTGGAAAAGAAACCTATGCTTTCTATGTTTGTACATTGAAAGTACTGCATATCATCACTTAACACACTGCATTCATCTATATTTTCCAATAATCATGATGTCCAAAAGATTAACTGGAGAAACTGTGAATTAATCCTATTTAACTTTATAAAATTGTTAAAATGATTTTGTTTTAAGAAACAATAGATTAAATATGATTTTAGTCCAACTAGAGTGTATTCATTAAAACACAAATTCCATTGACTTCAATGGCTCTACTCTAGCTAAAATTGGATTTATCCCTGTGGGAGCTAGAAGCAATCTTTCTTTCGTATAAAGCGGAGATTTCTTAAGTTCAGCAATACATGTTCTTGCTATACATTATGTAGCAAGAATATGTATTTGCCATTACAGAATGACTGCCTTATCAATGGATTTGATACTCATGGTTTCACTTATCCACACTACAAAACAATATTTTTCCCTCTTCCTGCCTGTGGACTTTTCTAACAGTGCATCTACACTGCAGAATTAATGCAGTTTGGCAGCACTCTAATGCAGCTCAATACTATGAAATCATGGGAGCTCTTTAGCCTCTGCCAAACAGTGCTGGTTACCAAAATACAACTCCTACAATTCCATAGCACTGAGTCATGACTGTTAAAGTGGTGTCAAAATGAATTAATTCTAAAAGATAGATTCAGCTTTAGTTCTCCAGTGCAATTTTATGGTTGCTTCCAACTCAATTATAATCAAAGTATAGGGTTCACTATTACCCACAGTTTTAGGTATCAGTGGTGATCTTGAAACAGATCCCCCACAAATATAGCCACCATACTGTACAGGTGTGGACAATGGGGTGCTACAGCTAATTCAGGGTTGTGAAAAAGTGGAGTTAGTGGAAGGCAAAATTAAGAAGCAACATCAAAAGCACCAACTTACCTGTTTAAATGTCCGAAGTCTGTCCAGTGTTTTCTGCCGTTCCTGACTAACCCATGAGCTTTTACGTTCTTCCTCAGCTTGCAATCGCTCCCTCTTCTGATAATTAAATGAAAAGGGTAAAAGAAGATACACATTTAAGAGAGAGGAATCTGGATGGAAAAATTAACTCCCTACATAATTCACTGGCTCACAAGTCTGTTTTGTATCTTGCCCCTTACAATCTTGCCCCTTACAGAGCCATTCAGCAGTGGAACTCTCTGCCCTGGAGTGTGGTGGAGGCTCCTTCTTTGGAAGCTTTTAAACAGAGGCTGGATGGTCATCTGTCAGGGGTGCTTTGAATACAATATTCCTGCTTCTTGGCAGGGGGTTGGAGTGGATGGCCCATGAGGTCTCTTCCAACTCTATGATTCTATCTGAAGTGACCAAAAATATTGATAATTGCCAAAGCACTGAAAGAAGACTGCAAGAATTAAGGGATGTTGGTGGAGGCATGTTCCCATATCTACTACTTGAAAAAAAGTATTCAGAATAAAGCTTAAATTATGATTAGTTACAACTGTAGTAGAGCCACTAAACCAATATTTACCTATATGTTTACTCACAATTCACCAAAGTTTTTGCACTTTCAGCAGTAAGAAACTCTTGTTCAATAGAAAAACGACCAGAGATATAGAAAGATCTAACTGCTGAAGATGCAGACAGTAAGAATTACAGGCAGTGTATGATGGTTTTAAAAGAGGTCAAGATTATATTTAGGTAGTAAGGGGAAATAACTAAAAATGAAATAGGCAACAAATACAAGATTTGGGATGTTACATGGAATGAAATGCTTATAGTTGACATTTATGTCATGAATGAGCATGTGTGAGTGTGAATACTAACTATACCTTATTATTTACCCATAGAGGCTTTAGGCAATATCTTTCCACCCAACTGTGTCATCCAATTACCATTGTTAAAACTAAATTTGTCATTTCTTCACAAATATTCATAAACTTTGCATTTCTATTACTATTCACATTTACCTGCTCATTCATGGGCATAAATAACTGTCTAGCTATAAGCACTTGACGCCATACATCTGATGAAGTAGACTCCATCTACAAAAGCTTATGCTGCAAACTACTTTCTTCCAGTTAGTCTCAAAGATACTATAAACAGTCTTCAGCTATGTCAGTGAAAGAGACAGTGATTGCTTGGATGTTTGGATTTATCCATTTTCCAATAAATGCTTATGGTTGGTGTGTATGTTCTACTTAGTTAGGGCAGGAAACTGAAGTTTTATATTTGCTATGAGTTAAATAATGTGGGCCACAATGTTATACATGTTATTTGCTTGAAATGAAACATGAGAATGAGAAATAAATATCCACCCTCGTTCATTTAATGTACTATAATTATGCTTCTCAGGACAGCAAAGAAGTAAAAAGGACTTAAATTTTTCAAAGAAGTCCTTCATCTGGCATAGCGAAGCATCATTATAGCTTTAGGAGAGACCAAACTCACAGACATAGCAGTATGCTGCGACTCTTCCTCACTTTGAAAGTGCTGCAGGAATTTTTCACTGTTTTTTGCAATGCAGATTTCCTGTGGAAACACAATTTTAAAGATATTTTTCACTATTTCAGATGAGGGACCAAATGAAGGCAGGCAAATGGCACTGTTTCCTGCTAGAAGGTGACACCAATGTTGTTGAAGCTCCTGATATGCCACTAATGTTTACATAATTTGAGGTTTCAACCAGGGTTCTCAAAAGTATCAGTTTTCATCAAGCTTGCCTCTTCTAAAATATGCCATAAGCAACAGTGCAAATAATCCCAGATGTGCATATTATGCATAATCCCTGGGGATATAGCTGTATAATATAAGGGCAGCTGAAGAGCCACTGTATTCAACATCAAAGTGTGCATAAGGCAATGGTTCAATTCTGGATGCATTATACATGTATTATCATTAATCCCAGCATCACGTAAATCTAAGTATATTCTACAATGAATTTCATTGTATTTATTACTGTCATGTTGCTTTATATTGTACAATCATGGAAAACGTCTGTGTATGCCAAAAGTAAAGCTTCTGCATTCCGAGCATCGCCTTCTTTGTAGCAGCAGATTATCTTTTTCTTTATCAGATTCATTAATATTTTTTAAGGTCCACACAAACTAAGAATGCTGCTTTGTAACCAGTAGATGGTAGCATTAGGATAACAATAAACTCTTCCCCCCCCCCCCCCAAAGTGATCCCGTACGAAGCTGATGTCAAGACTAGGTAATGCAACACACTGGTAGCTTAGAATCATAGGCTAATATTTATTTATTTATTTATTTATTTATTTATTTATTTATTTATTTATTTATTTATTTATACCCTTCTCTATTTCACCCTGAAGGAGACTCAAAGTGGCTTACAGTTTTGGCAATAATTCAATTCACATTGCAATACAATGTATAAAATTCAACACATTAAGCATTAAAATCAAAATCAAATAAAACATATAAATACAATTAAAACATTGCACCTAGTTCCATAGTTGTCATTCACGATGCTTCATTTGTGTCGATTCCATATTGAACTGTGGATATACTACTCCTCAAATGCCTGGTTCTACAGCCAGATCTTAACTTTTTTCCTGAAAATCAGGAGTGAGGGGGATGATCTAACATCACTGAGGAGGGAGCAGAGGGGCCACCACTGGGAAGGCCCTGTCTCCCGTCTCCACTAGTTGTGCCTGCAAAGGAGGTGGGACCGAGAGCAGGGCCTCCTTGACAGATCTCAACATTTCAGCTGGTTCACAGGGGGAGATGCATTTGGACAGGTAAGCTGGGCCAGAACCGTTTATGGCTTTAAAGGCTAAAGCCAGCACTTTGAATTGTGCTTGGTAGCAAACTGGCAACCAGTGGAGCTGACGTAACAAGGGGGTTGTATGCTCCCTGTACGCCACTCCAGTGAGCAATCTGGCTGTCGCCTGTTGGACTACTTGAAGCTTCCTATCAGTCTTCAAAGGCAGACCCACGTAGAGCACATTGCAGTACTCTATTTGAGATGTAACAACAGCATGGACCACTGTGGCAAGCTACAAGTAACAAGTTACAAGTGACTATTCACTTGTAGTCAGCTCCTTCCCCAAATTACATATATTACTTTATGACACTGTGTGCCACTTAAGTAGGGATAATTTCCCTTCACAGTAACATTAGCAGGGAAAGAATATCACACAATTCAGTACTGGCTCATTCTTTGCCTCTTGTTCTGTTGTAGATATTAAGCTGAATGGGTGAGTGTCTTTGTAACAGTGATCACTTAGTTTGCAGCATCCAGATTTTTACAGAAAGCAAAAAGTAGCTGTTCTAGTTACATTTTAGAAAGAGGAAAGTTACATTGTCAACTGAATGACAAATGATTGTTTAGGAGCTACTTGGATATACACAGGGCAAATACAAAGCATATCTAATTATAGCAAAACAGGTGTCAAGTACTATATGATCAAGTTCTTAGGCTACAAATATGATTCAGAAATACCGTAGTTTCACATAGGAGCAGGACATATGCTCACCAAGTATAATGGTATCAAAAAATCAGTTTGATCATGCTAATCCCCTCTGGTCACCTTCATTGCTGCACACTTTCATACACAGAAAAATTGGTAGGGATAAAAAAGAAGGGCATTTATGGCCATTTATTTTCTGGGCTATGTCCATACTGCTCATGCTGAATTTGATCTGGGCATATACCTGTAAAACTAAATCTAAAATTATTCTGCTGCAGGTGAGAGCTTAGGTTCACTAAACATTTTGATGCAGAACACTTAATACAAAAGAGCTTTTTTATTAACTGGAAATGTAATGTTTACTTCCCTTTAACCTTCACATTGTACTTCTTTGGGAAAGCAAGTTGTTAAAAATGAATCCCTAACTATATCATATCATATTTGAATAAAGGGAATAAATTAATTAAACTTCATAGCCCAATAAGATAACACCAGCCTTCCATATTGCATCTATGGTTTCAACCAACCTCCCACAGCTTGAACACACACACACACACACACACACAGAAAGAGAAAGCAAACCTTTATTTTGCCATTTAGTAGAAGGGACACCATTTTACTACACCACTATATACACTATATACACTATATACCACTATTGGAATTTGAGCATCCACAGATTTTATTATCTATGTGGATATCCTGGAACCAAACCCCAACCAAACAATTAACTCTTTGTTAAGAAGTCAGTGAATGAATGCATGCATGCTTGTGTTACCTTTTTATTTCTGAGGTAGGCCTTCTTGGCTGAAATGCGCCCACGTCTTGCTTCTAGCTGCCGGACTTTCTGTTGCAATTTCTGTAACTCTTCTCTTTGCAAGTGTATAGATGCTGCCATATCTTCTTTTTCAAGCATGGCTTCCATACTTTCGTAAGTATCATAATATACTACTTCGTCTCTTTTTTCTGTTGGAGAACATCAAAAATGTTAAATGCAGGGACACTCAAACATCACCATGTAAATGAACCTTCAATTGTGCTCAACAAGATGATATGTTCAATAATATAGGGACAGCAATCACAGCACTAGAAGTGGTCTAAATCTCATCTTACACTGACCCTGTCCTGGAAAAGTAACAACTGCACACTAATTTCTCACAAGGTCTTCACTGTAATCTGACCAGAGCAGAAATCAAGAGCATCTAAGGTAAATTACTCCAGAATTTATCTCCCAGCTAATGCTAGTTCTTTTTTCCCCATCAAATATGAAGACTGAAATAATCTATCAGATATTGAGTGCAGAAACTAAATCAGCCGAGTATAAGCAAAGTATGCTTATCTTAGTTTCAAGATAAAATCCATTCAATAATCTAAATCTGGTTATTGTCGGTATCTCTAATACTTCACAAGAAGAGAATAGAAGGCAAAAGTTAAAAAAAAGAGGCTGCAATCCTTCATACAGCTGGCGATAAACCAGGCTGAAGAGACATGCGTCTCTTACAAGTAAATATCTTAAGAACTGCAGTATACAACTGATTCTAGAACTAAAAAGAGAAATTTGCAGATTGGAAAAATATTTTTGGGTTACTGAGAATAACCTGTAACATAGCAGCCTACAGCAGTTTGTTCAATTATAAAAATGTAAAACGAATCTATGTCACCTGAAATAAGTCTTTTAATGCTTTCAAGCTGTGCTGTTAGCAGCAGTTCTTCACACTTCAAAATTTCAAACTGCACTTCATACAACTGAAGTTGCAGATCATAATAGTCAGCTTCAAGTTGGTCCAAATGGGCAATGGCTTCTGTGCCCCCTTGTAAGCTCTGCATCTGAATGGGAAAGACAGCTGAGAGTTACCACAAGAAGATCCAATAAATTTTAACAACATCATGTCATATCCCCAAGACTCCACATCAAGACATAGAAAATAATTTAAAGACGTTGTTGTAAATGAAATACATGAAAGTACATAATTGCTATATAAGCACAATTCTTTAGGGCTGCAATACTGCATACACATTTACCCAGACTTCCTTGTGAGTGAACGTGTTTAAGTTCTGCATCAATTAGTAATAACTTTCTCCATTATCAGGTAAATATTAGATTCAGCAAGGGATTGCAATATGAATGCGGCTTCTTTGATGCTTGGCACAGACAGCAATAATATCAGAGTGAGCTTTTAATAGACCCAACAGGCTGGTGGCATAGCACAATTTCTTGTCTGAAAATCAACTTCCATTCCTAGGGACTATCAAATTAGTTTTATTTGCCCTCAGCAATGGCATTACACAATCAAATCTGACTAATGAGGTGTTGCTGCAGAAAACAACTGATTTTTAAACTACACAAATTAATATAATGCTTCATGATAACTTAGCCAGAAAATAACTATGAATTGGTTTGAAAAGATAACCTCTGTGGGGATTTACCTAAATTCTCAACATATTTTGGTATTGTCAATGCCATTTTTTGGCATTGTCAAAAGATGCCATTCTGGACATTCCAGTTATTGTATTGTACATATTTAGAGAACTGTAAAGAATACAATGTGACTTGGAGGTTCTGGTTGTAGCCACAATTAGATAGATAGATAGATAGATAGATAGATAGATAGATAGATAGATAGATAGATAGATAGATAGATAGATAGAGCTTGGCAAGTGAATTGAAAACTACCATCTGGTGCAGCTCAATGAAAATCTTTCACTGCTCTTCTCACAGTGTGAACACTCATCTTGCATTTATTGTTCAACAAGTCATTAAAAGGAAAAAAAAGTTTTTAAAAATCCTAATAATCTGTTCCTAAGATAATCGCAAAAAAGATTTGAATGTATTTTGGGTCAAGTGAAATGTTTTCATAGCCAGCACAAAAATAAACTCCTGCTTTCAGCACTATAATGGCTGAGAGCAGGAAATGTCAAATACCCAAAAGTACATCTCCACTACAAACCTAAATTAACGCACTACTGCACTTACTATAATTATTTTGCTCAAAATCCTGAGTATATAATTTGGTAAGGATGATGTGAATCATCACAAAAACTGCTGTTCTTAAGAATTCCTGTGATACAGGTATGTTCCAAGAAGAAAATCCATGCCACCGAAAGTTTCATTAGCATATCTTTCATAAAACTTCTATCACTTAGTTTCTGCATGTCTGAAAGTCAAATTTCTTTCTTTAAAATACTTTATCCCAACATCTCAACAGATCAAACAGTCATTCCTGATCATTTTCTATTGTGATTGTAAGTCATATTGTGGTATGATTTTTTTTACTTTTAAGTATCTAAAATAAATTAATACAAGAAATTAATTCTGAAATGTCATTTACATTCAGTGTTGTACTAGGGTGTGCACATACAAATCCCAGGACTTTAACTGCCCTATAAACTTATGTATAAGTCTAGAAATTTTAGCATTGGACTTTCCTTTCTCTGTGCAATGATCCTCAACTTATTCACAGATCATATCAAAATGTGTAAATTTTGCCCAAAAATCTGCCCTCAATTTATACATAGAATCATAGAGTTGGAAGAGACCTCATGGGCCATCCAGTCCAACCCTCTGCCAAGAAGCAGGAATATTGCATTCAAATCACCCCCGACAGATGGCCATCCAGCCTCTGTTTAAAAGCTTCCAAAGAAGGAGCCTCCACCACACTCCGGGGCAGAGTTTCACTGTTGAATGGCTCTCAAAGTCAGGAAGTTCTTCCTCATGTTCAGATGGAATCTCCTTTCTTGTAGTTTGAAGCCATTGTTCCGCATCCTAGTCTCCAGGGAAGCAGAAAACAAGCTTGCTCCCTCCTCCCTGTGACTTCCTCTCACATATTTATACATGGCTATCATATCTCCTCTCAGCCTTCTCTTCTTCGGGCTAAACATGCCCAGCTCCTTAAGCCACTCCTCATAGGGCTTGTTCTCCAGCCACTTTGATCATTTTAGTCGCCCTCCTCTGGACACATTCCAGCTTGTCAACATCTCTCTTTAGTTGTGGTGCCCAGAATTGGACACAATATTCCAGGTGTGGTCTAACCAAAGCAGAATAGAGGGGTAGCATTACTTCCCTAGATCTAGACACTATGCTCCTATTGATGCAGGCCAAAATCCCATTGGCTTTTTTTTGCCGCCACATCACATTGTTGGCTCATGTTTAACTTGCCGTCCCCGAGGACTCCAAGATCTTTTTCACATGTACTGCTCTCGAGCATTTCGTTTTTCCTGCCTAAGTGGAGTATCTTGCATTTGTCACTGTTGAACTTCATTTTGTGTGTTTTGGCCCATCTCTCTAATCTGTCAAGATCGTTTTGAATTCTGCTCCTGTCCTCTGGAGTATTGGCTATCCCCCCAATTTGGTGTTGTCTGCAAACTTGATGATCATGCCTTCTAACCCTTCATCTAAGTCATTAATAAAGATGTTGAACAGGACTGAGTCAAGGACGGAACCCTGTGGCACTCCACATGTGGTCAAGTTATACAACAACATAACGAAATACCTCTTCTTTCAATGCATGTTTCTTCTGTTCCAAACAAATTTCTTTTGCTCTCATCAACTGCAAAGTCTCCTTAGAAACTGCATACTGAAGTTTTTCCATTCGTTCCACTGCCACTGCCCATGCAGCCTTACCAAACTTCTTCTGGTCTGCTCGCATTCGATCACACACAGCTGTTGCAGGGGAAAATGAAATAACAAGCTTATCCTACCAGGAAATATTTAAGAGCTATCTGATAAGTTTAGAAATTCTGTTTATTTTGTTGAAAGCTTGTAGCAGCAATTCAAGGCCTTCTGACATTAATACCAACACCATTTTCAGTCATGACTTTCCACAGCTTTTAATCACAAATCAAACATATTGAGCTTTAAAAAAAGTTATTCCTTTAAATAAAATTTGCAATCTGTATATAACCCAAATATTGGAAAGGGCTGAGTAACTTTCAGTACAAGACCCTGAGAGAACATGCATATATGGTAGCAAGTGTCTTAATCTGGTGGCACAACAGGTCAGTTAGGTCAGATGAGGAAGTTCCATCATCTCCAATTCTTGCTTTCTTTTGTTTGCCTTCAGACATGAAAGCATTATTGCATAAACCATTTTGTTGCTTTTGAAGCCATTTCATCATGCCATGTGCTCTTCCACACCAGAGCAGGTACAACAAAGAAAATAATGAGGAAAGGAACCAAGCAGGTTGGCAAGATGCACTTAAGATCCTACCTAATATCTGTTCATGTACCATCCGCACAGATCATTTGACTGACGTCATGTGTGTGAAAAAGAGAGAATGTTGTTGGCATATATTGGGTGATATAATGAAGGCAAGCAAGATGAAAAAGGTGGATGTCTGAAGAGGTAGATTAATATAGGAGTTGCAATTGTACAAATGGACAGATAGATATGGAGTGAAAAACTTTATATCCGCAGACAGGCAAAGGGATAGAATATGGATGCTTACAGAGTTTGCTACCTGTTATTCATTTGTTAATTTGCTAGATATGCATAAATGTTCACTCCTACATATATATGTAGAATGGTGGTATAGGAATGCTGTATGATTCCAGAGATAGCATGTTTGTGTGTCTCTAAAAACATCAACATCACCACCATCATTCCTCTATCCTCCCTCCCCTCAGTCCCGTACACTCAAATTTGCACACTTACTTTATATCTGTAGGATACACCTTTCATCCACTATAATGCACTCAGCCACAGAGCTATAGTGGCTTGGATGTTGGATTAAGACTCTGGAGAGCAGAGTACAAATCCCTGCTCAACCATGAATATCCCATAATAGGTTCGCCTTGGAGTCAGAAACAACATAAAGGCATAACAGCTACAACAACAATTATGTACATACACCCTTGGGGTCATAAAGGCGGGTGGGAAAACGTTTTACTGAGTTCTAAGCCAGCCCGTCACCCATGACAATGGATCATGTCTTAAATGGTATTTCATTTTTTAAAAAAACATGGGAGCAGGTAGGATTACCTTTTTCAAAAGGATCAATCAACTGCTACACAAGATAAAACCAACTGTTTAATCTTGCATAAGAGCAAATGTCAAGTGGACAGATCTGAAAGCCCTGGATTTAAAGAATTAAAGAATCATGAATCTAAGGCAAAAATATCTCCTAATTTCAATGTCCCCATGTAAAATCGAATGCATTTCACTTCACATGATGGTTTGGATGATAATGTTAAAACACACTTCACATAAAATGTGGAACAAACAAAATATATTTTAAAAGGGATCCCTCTCTTACTTGAGTAGATAGGGTTCTATAGCAATTCAAAGTAGGTAATAAAGTATCTGAGTGACAAGCAGAATTAGTCATTGAAGTACAACAGATCATGGAATAAAGACTAAATCAAATGTCTTGATGGAAAATATGAAAATGTCTAGATCCATTACCCTTTTGTGCTTTCGCTGTTATTTCAAAGTACTTCACAGTAAGGTCTTGAATGGAAAGTACAGCCATGTGGGCCTTCCGCTGCCAGTCCGCATCTTCCTTTTGGAGACTTTCAATTCTTCTGGGTCCTAAGTAATCATTTTCTATGGAAATCTGAGAACACATCAATCCATTACATCCACCATCAAATAAGAAATGAAGAAAAACATTTCAAGAAAGAAAGCTATTAAAACTTCCCCAAACATTGAAAAGTATTCATAAGCAGGCAGGTCAAAATTGATAAATGTTGGTGTAAACCTCTCTATTTAGCAAATCGGATTCCTTTAAATAATCAAATATTGGCAACCCACAAACAGAAACATAGATAAATAAATAAAAATCACAAGTTGACAAAAAAAACAAACAAACAAACAAAGAAGCAGGAATAGAACCAATAATGGGGGTAGTTGATCCTAGGTTTTCTGAGTTGACTTATGGAGAAAAAGACAGAAGGATGTATAAAAGATAAAAGAATCACTACAGTATCTGATGCTCTAGTACCTTGATTTTTTGAAAAATAAAAATAGACCTAAGACTTAGAACTGAGTGGGAAAGAAGAGGCCCTCCAGGTGTTGTGGGATTGTAAATTCCAACCTCCTCACATTGGCTATACTGGCTAAGTGTGATGCACTTTTCCCCATCTGGAACTGAAAGCCTTATCCCACTGTTTTACTTTCTTGGGCTCCCCTTTCTTACATATTTTTGATTCCTACCTCATAGAATCATAGAGCTGGAAGAGACCTAATGGGCCATCCAGTCCAACCCCCTGCCAAGAAGCAGGAATATTGCATTCAAAGCACCCCTGACAGATGGCCATCCAGCCTCTGTTTAAAAACCTCCAAAGAAGGAGCCTCCACCACACTCCGGGGCAGAGAGTTCCACTGCTGAACAGCTCTCACAGTCAGGAAGTTCTTCCTCATGTTCAGATGGAATCTCCTTTCTTGTAGTTTGAAGCCATTGTTCCGCATCCTAGTCTCCAGGGAAGCAGAAAACAAACTTGCTCCCTCCTCCCTGTGACTTCCTCTCACATATTTATACATGGCTATCATATCTCCTCTCAGCCTTCTCTTCTTCAGGCTAAACATGCCCAGCTCCTTAAGCCGCTCCAATCTCCCCTTTTTGGGCAAAGTCATGGAACGTGTGGTGGCCTCACAACTCCAGGCATTCTTGGTAGACACGGATTATCTGGATCCGGCACAGTCTGGCTTTAGGCCGGGGCATGGTACCGAGACAGCCTTGGTCGCCTTAGTGGATGATCTCCGTCGGGAGCTCGACAGGGGGAGTGTGTCCCTGTTGGTGCTACTCGACCTCTCAGCGGCCTTCGATACCGTCGACCACGGTATCCTTCTGGGACGCCTCGCGGGAATGGGTCTCGGAGGTACTGCTTTGCAGTGGCTCCGGTCCTTCCTCGAGGGCCGCACCCAGAAGGTGTTATTGAGGGACACCTGTTCAACACCACAGCCTTTGACTTGTGGGGTTCCACAGGGTTCTATACTGTCCCCCATGCTGTTTAACATCTACATGAAGCCGCTGGGTGAGATCATCCGGAGTTTCGGGGTGCGGTGTCATCTGTACGCAGATGATGTCCAACTCTGTCGCTCCTTCCCACCTGCTACTAAGGAGGCTGTCGAGGTCCTGAACCGGTGCTTGGCCGCTGTGACGGTCTGGATGGGGGCGAACAAATTGAAATTGAATCCAGACAAGACAGAGGTACTCCTGGTTAGTCGTAAGGCCGAACAGGGTATAGGGTTACAGCCTGTGTTGGATGGGGTCGCACTCCCCCTGAAGACGCAGGTTCGCAGTTTGGGTGTGATCCTGGACTCATCGCTGAGCCTGGAACCCCAGGTTTCGGCGGTGACCAGGGGAGCATTCGCACAGTTAAAACTCGTGCGCCAACTGCGACCGTACCTTGGGAAGTCTGACTTGGCCACGGTAGTCCACGCTCTGGTTACATCCCGTCTTGACTACTGCAACGCTCTCTACGTGGGGTTGCCTTTGAAGACGGCTCGGAAGCTCCAACTAGTCCAACGGGCGGCAGCCATGGTACTAACAGGAGCAGGGCGCAGGGAGCATACAACTCCTCTGCTGTACCAGCTCCACTGGCTGCCGATTAGCTACCGAGCCGAATTCAAAGTGCTGGCTTTGACCTTTAAAGCCCTAAACGGTTCTGGCCCTACATACCTATCCGAACGCATCTCGCTCTATCAGCCCACCAGGACCCTAAGATCTTCAGGAGAGGTCCTTCTCTCTATCCCACCTGCTTCACAGGTGCGGCTCGTGGGTACGAGAGATAGGGCCTTTTCTGTGGTGGCCCCCCGGCTTTGGAATGCCCTCCCTATGGAAATAAGATCAGCCACCTCGCTAATGGCATTTCGGAAAAAACTTAAAACTTGGATGTTCCAGCAAGTTTTTGGCTAACTTGACTTGATGATGTTTGTTCATGGATTAGCAACCTCGGACGACGAATTGGATTGTTGACGTTAATAATGAGATGTTCTGGACTGTATTGGTGGCCCAATACTATGTATGTATATGTATGTATTTTATAGTGTAATTTTTATATTAAATTGTAATATTGTAGTTTTAATTATGCTGTAAACCGCAATGAGTCGCCATACAGGCTGAGATATTGGCGGTATATAAGCGCACCAAATAAATAAATAAATAAATAAATAAAAATCACAAGTTGACAAAAAAAACAAACAAACAAACAAAGAAGCAGGAATAGAACCAATAATGGGGGTAGTTGATCCTAGGTTTTCTGAGTTGACTTATGGAGAAAAAGACAGAAGGATGTATAAAAGATAAAAGAATCACTACAGTATCTGATGCTCTAGTACCTTGATTTTTTGAAAAATAAAAATAGACCTAAGACTTAGAACTGAGTGGGAAAGAAGAGGCCCTCCAGGTGTTGTGGGATTGTAAATTCCAACCTCCTCACATTGGCTATACTGGCTAAGTGTGATGCACTTTTCCCCATCTGGAACTGAAAGCCTTACCCCACTGTTTTACTTTCTTGGGCTCCCCTTTCTTACATATTTTTGATTCCTACTTCATAGAATCATAGAGCTGGAAGAGACCTCATGGGCCATCCAGTCCAACCCCCTGCCAAGAAGCAGGAATATTGCATTCAAAGCACCCCCGACAGATGGCCATCCAGCCTCTGTTTAAAAACCTCCAAAGAAGGAGCCTCCACCACACTCAGGCAGAGAGTTCCACTGCTGAACGGCTCTCACAGTCAGGAAGTTCTTCCTCATGTTCGGATGGAATCTCCTCTCTTGTAGTTTGAAGCCATTGTTCCACGTCCAAGTCTCCAGGGAAGCAGAAAACAAGCTTGCTCCATCCTCCCTGTGACTTCCTCTCACATATTTATACATGGCTATCATATCTCCTCTCAGCCTTCTCTTCTTCAGGCTAAACATGCCCAGCTCCTTAAGCCGCTCCTCATAGGGCTTGTTCTCCAGACACTTGATCATTTTAGTCGCCCTCCTCTGGACACATTCCAGCTTGTCAACATCTCCCTTCAATTGTGGTGCCCAGAATTGGACACAGTATTCCAGATGTGGTCTAACCAAGGCAGATAGAGGGGTAGCATTACTTCCCTAGATCTAGACACTATGCTCCTATTGATGCAGGCCAAAATCCCATTGGCTCACCCAGGGTTTTATCGTTTTATCATTTTATCTTGTCCATTTGGCCTACCCATCCTGTTTGATTTTATACTGTGTGAATTTGCTTTATTATTTCACTCTGTTATTGTAATTTATTTTTGATGCATTTTGTTTTTTGTATTCTGTATTTTGTACTGTGTTGCATTGTATTTTAAAGGGCCTGGCCTCATGTTAGCTGCCCCAACGGGGGGTAAATAAAGTTGATTATTATTGTTGTTGTTGTTGTTGTTGTTGTTATTATTATTATTATTATTATTATTATTATTAAGTGTTGGAATTGGAGTCCAATAACATCAGAAAGTCTAAAAAAAAGCATCCAAGCTGGGTAAACAGAATTCTGATACGAACAGAAGTACAATTGTTTCTAAATTCAGTTCTTGTGGGTTTTTTCGGGCTATATGGCCATGTTCTAGAGGCATTTCTCCTGACTTTTCGCCTGCATCTATGGCAAGCATCCTCAGAGGTGTTTCTAAATTATTGCTTCAAGTTTCCAATCCAACATATTTTACATCTGGTCCCAATATGGAACAAAACCTTTTCCCAAGAAACACTAAAATATTCTTGGTCAGAGTAATCCAATACCTGTTGAAATCTAGGTGAGAGATTACTGGACAGAGCAGATGGGTTGCTCTGCCAGAGAAGAGAAGCTCACATGCACAATAGCACTTCTCTTCCAGTAACCAGACAATACAGCCATAGAAAGCTCAGGGTCACAGAAGCACCCTGGCAGTACTCCCACCAACTTCACAATCCCTGAAACAGAACACCACAAGGGTACATCAGGGTGCCTTCACATCCATAACTGTACTCTTTTACCTTTGGTATGCTCATGGCGTGTCATGGCATCAGCCTAAATAGCAATGAGCAAATTGTAATAATAATAATAATAATAATAATAATAATAATAATAATAATAATAATAATAATAATACCATCCAGAACATTAGATTGCCATAACAAACCAGAAAAGCCAAGAAAGTGGTCATTCCTCAGCTATAAAAATCCTTACCTCCACAGGTCCACAAACTATATCCAGGTCTAGTAATCATAAATTATTTGTACTGTACTAGCCAAGGAAAATATTGATGAAAGAGCTGGGTAGCTTTAGGTTTCAACTCAGCAAATGCATTATTCCATGAAAGAAAAGAGAGGGGTAAGGCATCATACCCTTACAGATGGCATTTGAAACTAAAGAGCAGACTTCCTTAGAAAAATGTACCCCAGGTTTTCCTTGATTTATCTATGTTAATGAAACATCCCTGCCTCTGCCTTTGCTTTCTAGCCTCACATAATCTTTTTGCAACTGGGCTCATTGAAATCACATATATAGATTGCTCTTCTAATACATACCAGTCACATGTTCACTTATACATATACAGTAGAAATTCCTTTTTACCAATAGAAGAAACCAGGCAGAAGATAACAAGATGAAGCATTCTATTTCTTGCTTTTCAATTCAAGATTTAAAAGGATGGGTTCAGCTCAATAACTTACTTTTCCTAAGCAATTCTCAAAGCATACTCTTTTACCATCATAGTCAAGAACAGAAAGGCATTTTGAAGTCACTAATGATAAATGATATGCCACTCTATCCAACCTTGCTTGAACAAAGAGCTGTTGCAGAAGATTGCAATCTTGAGGGAAAAGCAGTCTGTGTTGAGCAGGAAGAGAACTCTTTCACCTCAGGTTGTTTTTCTGCACATAATTTATCTGCCTCACACATAGTTATGAGAAACAAGTTATTATAGATAATATGCTACTTAGACTTAAATAAAAGTATTATTTTAGCATCTCTTGGATTCCTTCTATTTGAGTCATCTGAAGGGATTTAACATCAAATAGGAAAGCAGCCTGGCAATATTATAGAATCATAGAATCATAGAATCAAAGAGTTGGAAGAGACCTCATGGGCCATCCAGTCCAACCCCC